ACAATTTTGTTGCACAACATCGATTGTAAGTTCTTAAAACAATATTTAACAGTGCACGGCAATGTGCAATCTCATTTGCAATGATAAATACCCGGCCGTTTGAAGATTATTTTCAAAAGTTTGTAATACATTTTTCTGCAAATTGATGGACGATCCGCATTTTTTTTTTACTTAAACTGCATTAGTGTGTATAATTGTGTGTGTACTTTAATTGGAAATTTAAAAGAAAGCGAAACTCGAACAGGCATTTAGTACATGAGCACCCTTAACCTAGTATTTGCAGTATCTGCAGCTTCTCCCTTGATAATTTATTGATTCATTGTTATCAGCGTTATAAAATAAACTGCATCGAACACAATAATATCACACTCAATAATTGATAAATCAAAATCACTGTCAGTTTAATAATGCAATGTGTATTTGAAAAGTTTATCAGATCTACAGATGCACCCGCACTAAGAGAAAAATGTCAAAGTCAGTGGCGCACTACAAAAAAGCTCGGGGGATAAAAGGGGGTATGCCTCTAGAAAAAAGAACAACCTTTAGATTTTCATAACCAGTCGCCTTACCTGCACGCCCCTGCTCTGTGTCCATAAGGTTGTGAATCACCCCGTATAATCAAAATCTGCTGCAGACACACGTAAAAGATTTTTGTAACATCCCGGATCTTCATGTCATAATTATTTCATTAATTGTTTATCCCCTAGTTCAGTTCTTCTCGCTATCCACTCGGGAACTCATATTTTCCTTTTTTTAGCAAGTCTTCGTATTTTTATAGTTGAAAGCACAATTAGAGCAGCAGCAAGTTTTCTCGACATTTTCAAACCGAAAGAGATCGACTGAAACGAGTACGGAAAAGTTTGTGCAGATACAAAATTATTGCGCTGCTTAGGTATTCTAGTGAACACGAGTCGCGCAACATTTGTAGCACAGATACATGATACAATGTTGCGTATAGTAAGTAGCGTGCAACTCGCCGTCTAGTGAACACAGCACGGCAACAAATGTAGCGCAGCAATCGACTTGTTGCGATGCAAAAGTATCCAGTAACGATTTGCCTGAGCGATCGGGCTTGTGCAAATGGCTTGAGCGTGTAAACGGCACTTAATGATTGGCTTGTGCAAGCCAGTTTGTTGCAGCGTGTAAACGGCACTTTAGTGCTAAGGATGTGAAATTGTCAACTGCGAGCTCAGACCAGAGCTCAGTAAGATTACTGGATCACTAAAAACCTGCATGTAAAACAATTATAGGCAATGAAATATTCATAACAAAATATCATATTTTGAGGTTCATCAATCATCAAGTGTGAGTAGTAAGATATCACATGAAAGTTTTTTCCATAATTTCAAGTCACCTCAACTCAGGTTTCAACATTTAATAATTTGAAAAAAGTACCTTTTCAGTTTTCTTCTTAAATCAACCAATATTCCGCCTTCAATAAATTTAGGGACTATATCCCAGGGCTCCCCAGGAAGAGCGCATCGGTGATGTTCGGTGTCTTGTTTCAATGTTATTACATGTGAGGACATGATTTTTTTTAATTAGACTCCGGCCTCTCGTAAAGGTAAGATTATTTTTAATGTGAAGAGAATCAAGATTCGATAATTAAGGTAAGATTCGAAAAAATATTGCAATCGCAAAGGCGTATGAGTAAAGCGATAGAACTAGATGCACGCGAAACGTAAAAAAATGCATCTGACGTTATCAATATTAATTAAATTGCTATGGATTTTCAATAGATCCCCATGGTATCTGTTGCTATAAATATCCAACTTATTACCTACTTATTCAATCTATCGTATCCATAGATAAATTATTTTACAGAAAAATTCTCTTTCAAAACTGCAACTGCAATGACAAGGTTTATTGGGACTGATTACGAGTTTATTGTTCATATTTCGGAGGAAAACACATTTTCTAATTCAATGTTCTTCCAATTTCTAATTAATTTCAAATAAACCCAATTTTTGCGCTAAAAACTGGAAGAAAAGTGGAGTATATTAAAACTTACAGTACATTAAAACACATTGTTATAAGTTTGGCATAGTAAATATAATCATAAAATCTCTGTACACAAACAATATAACAATAAATATACAAACAGTACTGTTTCATTTTTGAAAGCTGTGCTAACAGCGTCAAAATTAAAATGAACAATAAATATGACGCCGATATATAAAACGATACAAACAATTCTACTTTTAATCTTGTATCTTATATTAATGAATTAAAAATGGCCCGTACTGGCCATTGTAAAATGGAATCGGAAGCTTTGGAATGTCCAAAAATATCACATAGCATCAATTATATCAGTTTTAACAACAACAAACACATACACTCAGTAAATGCCAACTGTTTGCTTTGAGGAAATACATTTATATAGATAATATTTGAACGCCTTGAAACACATCACGTAGTTAACTATTGTGTGATATTAAAAAGATAATAATTGATAAATCAGTCAAACAATTTGGCGGAATGGGATTTTAACGCTCATTATGAGCATTTTCCCATCTAAAAAACACCACCTATACTAGCTTAATGAATAAATATTGTCAAAAATTCATTATTTTTGCACGACATTCAGATATACATCACATTTAAGCTAAAAATTTTATTAGCTGGAACAATGTAGCCAGGAACAATCAGGAAATTAAGTTGCTTTGAACGGTATATTGTTTCGGTAAATGGTCCCCGATTTCAATAAATTCACGAATGCAAGTAATAACGATCAATAGCTGAATCTGATTATTGTGCGCCTAATCGGAGATTAATATTAACGGAAAGATTACGGTCCCGAAAATAGAAAAAATAGCCTGCAAACAATAGAAAGTTGATAACTCCTATTACAAACAGAACTTTCTTCATAAATTGATTATATCAAAGCTCGTCTTTAGGTGGAATGAAGGCGGTCAGAATATTGGCTCGGAGTTGCATGTTTTCTTTCTTCTCGGCCTTTACTTTACCCTCTCGCAGGATTTTGTTCAGCCGTTTCCTTTCATCTTCAAGGAAGGTCTCTTTATCTAGGGCCTTTCTCATGAATTTTATGTATGTTTTTGCTACCTTTTTCTGTTCCTGTGGAGATCCAAATATATTAACTAGTTTTTGTGATTTGATAAATGTTGTTAATGTTAACGAAAATTCATATAACCAACACACAAACCTTGACCGTCGTATGTGAGCTTCTATATTACGTTTTGATGAACTACTTATGAACTTATAAAAAAAAGTAATAAAAGTACAACGTATCTAGTAAATATGTATGTTATAAGCAACCAATTTTTACCTCATTTTCCAGGGCTTCGGCTTTTTCTTCTGCCTTTTGGAGGATTCCCACTTTATCAAAAGAAGTGGCAAATTCAACTGCTATCTTATCAAATTCCTCCAAGCACCCTGGCAGACCTAAGTACACGTTAGTGTTTTCTCTAATGAATTTTTTAATTTCATTTTCATTCCAAGTATGCGTCGAGTTCAGGGAAAATGGTTCGTCCTGTCCTTTGACGAACAATCTCAGGGCAGGCCAATCCCTCTTTTTTACGATGCCAAACCTTATCAAATAGAAACGGATAGTTTTACATCTGATACACTTACTTAATACAGTAAAACCGCTTTATTCGGAACTTGCTTTCGTTTGCTCGATCAGTGCGGGTTGACACAGATCCAGAAAGGAAAAAGCTCAATTTTTTTATCATCGAATAATGGGTGTTTTGATGGATTTAAAAACCGATATGGGATTCGACAACGACTTATCACAGGCGAAAACTTATCCAGTGACGAGGCTTAAGGCCAAGAAAGAACTACTTCGAAATAAACTTCGGGAAATGCAGTTGTTGCACCAAGTCTATAACGCAGACAAGTGGGTTATTTTTGGAAATTACTCCCTCAAAAGACACTTGCTGATCAATCTGAGCCATCAGCCCCAAGTAGAAAAATGAGCAAGGAATGAATTACATTTGTGTCTTGTTCAAACGCCTCTGGGACTCATAAAATAAAGTTGTTAGTGTGAGGCAAATCAGGAAAGCCTCGTTATTTTGGAAATGAATAGTTATCGATGACTTGCTAAGGAGAGAAGAAAGCATGGGTCACAAGAGAAAAAAATCGTTCCTCACAGATTTTGCTCCTGCAGTGCGAAAACAAATGCGAGAGCTGAATTTACATGCCAGTTCTTCTAACTTTAGACAATGTGCCAAGGGACCCAAAACACTTTTCATCAGACAAACAAATTGTTGTAATGTTTTTTCCAACTAATGTAACCTTGTAACCCGTTGTTCATAATGTGATTCAAGCCAATATAAGTAAAATTACAGAAAATGTCTCTTAAAAAAGGGAGGATACAATATGTATATATGTATATAGAGAAGTAAAGATAAATAATCTAAAAGATGTTATGATTGAACCGAACTTATATAGACGAGAAGTCCTGGAGTGAATTCATTGAGCAACAAGTTTATGGTTGAGATGAGGAAGAACTTCCTCCATTGTTTGCGTGGAAGCATAGAGAAGCTATAGAAGGCATCGGCAAAAAAGAGATCGGACGTTACTAGATTTTCCAACCAAATTGACGGGGATTTTACACATTGCGGAATTATTAATTGGGCCAGTCACGAGGGTCTTGGTTTGGAAACAATATGGATATTTTGGAACATATTCAAGATGAACCACTCTGGCGAAACGGACGAAGGCGCAGAGCCAATAGGTATTTCTCACAGAAAGGCTAACAAATGTTTCGCGATATGCACAAAATGGGTTTTTAACAGAAATGAAAAAAGGGTTTTTAAAAGGCAGAGCAAAGAGAGAATAAACCAACTAAAATCACATTTTTTTACATCAACCTAGACTTACAAATATGTATTATGTAGGTATGTATAAAAATTAAGCCATAATTAGTTCGGATTGCAGGGGTTACATGTACTGTATTAAGCCATTTTAAGTAGGGGCTTCAAATGTTAAGTGTGAGGTATAATCAGCAAAACAAGCAAAGTTCGGATAAGTTGGTGATATAACCGGTAAGTCGGTTAAGTAGATGACTTTTGGATATTGCCGGATATAAGTTGAAGTAAGCTTTACCGCAAAAAGGTGTTTAGCATAGTAAAACCATGATAATCTTACCTCTCAGCTAGTTTTTGGTTGTCATGCTCCCCAAAGTCCTTAATGCCTATCGTCACTATTAAGAGCTCATCCGAATCTATGAACTCTTCGGCTACTTTTCTAAAAGCGTCGTGTTTCTCTCCAAAGGGATAAACCGCATCGAATTTAACCAAAACCGTCTCAAACCGAGAAATGACTCTATCAAAGTTATATTCATCCAACAACACCGAGCCCTTAACATGGGCCTCCGATGATTTGAATAAGAACGCGCAAATGACTGCAAACGCGAGGAATACAAGTTTGGTCAACATCTTGGCTCTCAATAGCTTTCAGCAGGTAATTTCACTACAGAGGTGCAAGTGAGAATAATACAATGCATCAATTATTCGACCCCATTTATAATAAAAATGAACTATCCGCAAATTTCCACGTCAGGTGTCAAACCTACACGGCCAGGTCTGATTGGTTGCCATGAGTGTAGGGCATCAACAAACATCAATGAAATTACAGCGCTGTCTATTTGTGAGAATAGTATAGAATTTCAAAACCAGAAGGAAATAATGCATTTTGAGAACGTGAATTTATCCGAAGTTTGAGGATGTTTTATCACCTGAAACATCGACAAAATTGATAGTTTTAAACACTGTGCTTATCACAAATGGACTCGAGCATTTTTCCCTAAAATTTTTTTTTATTTTAACATTGAAGATAAATTAATCTTTAATTCTTAATAACGTGCAAATGTTTGAACAGACCCCAACATAAAATTACAATTACAAAAATAATTGCAGTAATAAAAAAAAAGGAATTTTATCGGCAACACTGAAATCATCACTGTTGAACCGTAAACTACGGTAAACACTTGAATGTTTATCAAGTACTTTATCTATTTACATACTTACAAGGTGTTTATCGAATGTATTTTCCAGAAAAATCTACAAACAAATTTGTGACAGACTCATTAAAAAGTAAATTGATATTATTTTTAGAAGAACTAAATAATTGCACATTTTACTGCAAACATTTTTCTGTTAACTGTTTCACCTTTTTACCATTCACTAGGAAACATGGAGTTTCAGTCCACATAATAATTAACACACAAATTTTTTTTTGTATAAAAATGTCTTTCGGTGTTCACGTTAAGTCATAAAAACTCAAATTGATGCTGATACGAGATTTATTAAAATGAGTAGATAATACATTAAACAGCTTTTTTACAAAAATATATCGTTAGGAATGCATATAAAATAGATCAGCAAACTATCAAACACCTTTCACACCGCATATCTTATTCTAAAATGATGTTAAATTCGAACAGATCTACTGGTCAACGACTTTCACATCACTCTCTATTTTTTTCTTGTCCACGTCCAACTGCGACAATTTCTCTGAGATCTCCTTAGTATCGTCTTCGTCTTCATTCTCTTCGGATGCTTCCAAAATTTTCTCAATCTCCTTTTGAATCTCCTCTTCCACTTTTCCGTTATACAAATCACAATCAGTCTTCAATATTTCTTGAGCATCTCCAAATTTACTTTTAAATAGAGCTGCATCTAAAAAGAAATATTTTTCACTCGCATTTATACTTATAAGTGGAGGTTTTGACTTACTATCATGGGTTGCAAATTTGACTGCTAAACATTCGGATTTAGCTTCCTCGTCGGCAAAATCAGCCATCACAGTGTAAATGAATGCCTTTTCATTAGTAACGCTGTCTTTCAGATTCATCCAAGGTGTAATAAAATGGTTGGCGCACACTTTCAGGGTCTTGTCACGACGCATTACAACCCTGAATGAGCTCTTCTCTTTGTGGCGGAGAATCTTCAATACACCAGTGCCTCTTTCCTATAAAGAAAAATGTTTAGGAAATCACCAACACAAAGAGCTTTAATTCTTTAAAGGTTTGAATTCGAGAAAAAATATTTTTTATCTAAGAAATAAAAACTGGTAAGAAGTAAATCGCACTTAAACAACTCCAAAGCGTCTAACAAGGGTATAAAAAGTGAGTACATTCCAATGGATAGTAGAGAATGCCACTCAAAAAACACTGTAAATGATTAGGACGATTTCCTCTAGGGTAAAAGTGCACATCAAAACCTTTCATTGAAAACAAATTAGGAAATGAAAATTTAACTTGAAGTTTAATAGCTATTTTCCAGGCAGCGTAAAACAACTGAGCACTTAATATATTTTTAAAAAGTTGAAGTCGCCATTAATTTACCAACTTTCAACACCGAGATCGAGTTGTATTCATTTCCTTTTTCGAATTTTAAGCAAACGGATCGTGATTCAAACCTGCTATACCCTAAAAAACACATTGCAATGTTCAATGATTTTATGTTACTAAAACGGTTTGCAAAGGAAAATCCTGGTTTCGGTTGTTTTTCGAGTAGAATTACAAGCCTGCCTTTATTGCTATTTCAAATTTGCCCAAAATTCCAAAACGTGCAGCTAATAGTCAAGAACATGAAGCTCATGTTCAAAAATGTACGTTTTTTATAATTAAGTACCATGAAACTGAAAACGTTTGTTATTGTTAGACATAATTTACAAATTTACATCACAAAGTCAGTGAAACCTATAAAAAACTAAATTTAATTTTATGTAGTAAATTTTCTTAAAATTTAACACGAAATCAAGGAATCAAACTAATGAAAACTTGCCAATTTACTTTGACTCTCATTTACCTCAGGAAATTGAGTTCGCTGAGTGTTTGAAGTGCGTTCTGGACAAATAAATATAATTGCCTTGCAGTTTTTCGAAACAAAGTCTGTTTCTCTACATAATTATTTTAGTTTTTGTTGCAACTTGATTTTAAAAAGTAGATCCACATGACGAATTGCACATTTAAGAATCATCCAGCACCAGCACACTGTATTAGCTACATACATACATGTTTAGCAATTACTATCATTACAATTACCTTCCATTCGGGGGTATCACTTCTGCTGTCGAACCTATACAGCTTTGCACGTAGCTTCAAGAATTCAACTTCATCTTCCTCATTTGTTGAAACGTGCACTTCTGGTAGCGATACAATGGGTGTAAATTGCACTTCATGTTCTGTATCATCTGATTCAGAGTGCCTCTGCTCTCGTTCGGGGGTATCTGGGATTTTCTATAAGCAAAATGTTAGTGCTAAAAACAGTATTCTTGACCAAAGGGCTGAGGACAAACTTTTAACCTCAAAAAATTATAATTCTAACTAGATAAATTAGCACTTTAGATTTATTCTTACAATTGTTTCACTCATTTTTATAAAACGTGGAATTTCCGTTTGCTTGAATAACCAATGGAAGTGAAGTCGGAATGGAAATTTAAAAAAAAAACGTTGAAAGTCCTCACTGACAGAATCAAAGACATAATCACACATAATCTGAGGTGACAGGTGACAGTTCTTTTCACAAAACACAGAAGTTATGGAAAGTAGTTTCCAATTCCCACCGCCTGTTGAAGAAACCTACTTTTGTTGATCGAGCACAAGCGACTGAGGGAGGCGGGAGATTTGAATTTACTTGAAGATATCTACAATTTCAACATTTCAGCTGCGGAACTGCGGAAATTTTATAAATACTGAACAAAACGTGGGAGCCCATGTGAAAATCAAGTTGAATGTGCGGTGTCTCTTAATAGTTTGAGTAAACAGGCACATTCACAAACATATGGTTGGAGTGCAAACCTGAAAGAACATTTTCTAAAATTGCCTTTGTTCATCCACGGAATTCAATTCGCTCTATATTTGTCTGAAAACAGACATTAAAGAGTGGATACAAAAAAAATTTTGTTGTTTCGAAAAAATATTTTGAGTGAATCCGGACGATCTTGAGCCAAAAAGTATGCCTTAGAAACTTTTTACAAACATACAACATAATAAACAAAAAATATCATATTCTGTACCCCCAAATTCACAAAATTCAGTTAAATGTAATATTAATATTATTATATTAAGTGCTAAATTTTTATTAAATTAATTTGTTAGAAACGTTTTTGGACATGTTCTAGTCACATTACATTACGTTTTTGCATTACCAGAAACAATTCTAAAATGTTTAAAAGCAATGGGACGTAAAAAATTAACTCACTAAAATTGGGCTCGTCGTAAACTGCACAACATAAGCACAAACATTAAAGATAAAAGCAATCGCAACCAAAAAGGTAAAAACAATCTCTTCTTTATTCACTATTATTATATTAACTATTATAAGAATTATTTAATTGAAGTAAAAGTAAAAACATTTACAAAAGCACTAATTGTTCTAAAATTTGCTACACCTGAACCAAACTAGGTCCAAACACTTTATCAACATATTCATGTAGTTGCAGGCACTTTGATTTCGAATTAACATTAGCACTGGCGCCCCATAAGACCATTCCATCGATGTTATACTTTGCTATTGCTTTTAGGGGCAAATATAGTTGTTCCTAAAACAATCAATAAACATGCCAGCAGCCCTAATGTAAATTCCAACAAAAGTTAATCACCTCTGAAATGTAATTTCCAGTATCCTGAAATTGGTACCAAAAGTAAACGTATATTTTCTTGTGGGTCTTCAGTTGATTTCTCAATCTAAGAGCTTCGGCTAAAGATCTTTCAATATATTGCACCCTTTCTTGTGGCGAATATGATTCTTGTAGATAGACTGATGGGAAAAACGCATCTGAGATGTTGAAAAGCCATTTTATGCTATAGACAAACAGAAATAATACATTTCAATTTTCTAATGCTTCATTAGCAAATATTCTTCATTACCTATCGTTTTCGCTCAAAACCTCTTTAGCGCACGTTTTTTGGGTTGTGCTGAAGAAACAGTACGGATAGTGATAGTAACCCCAGGACGCTTTCGGTCTAAGCGACTTTGCTCGGGTGATAGTTGCTTCCAAAAACTTATTTGCACCTTCTTCAAATCTAAAGAAAAATGTTTATCTATTTTCAAATCGAAAAGTCCAGCGCAAAAACGCGCCTTTTAGCCGCTTCTTTTTTAATCCAAGCTTCGGACCAAATAGGGTGTCGTTTCTTTTCAAGTTTCTCGGATAGTTCTTTGTATGGCGTCAAAACTCCCCAGTTTTGCCTGAAAATTGGCCTCCAGCTTTCAAAGTCTATAATTGCTAGTCCTAGTCAAATAAAACAAAAAATGATTAAAAATAGTTTGCAAATGCAAACGTAATTTAGTGCATGCCAAGCTTTAAAAAATTCTTAAAGGATTTTAATTAGAGGTTTTGTACTAACTAGTTTGATGATTTGGAGATAGATTCTAAGGAACATTTTCTATTAAATCTTAAGCCAGTTCTTGCAGTTTTTGCCGTTTTCTCTTTAATGCAGTAATAACATTTTAAGGAATAAAAATACGTCTTTAAGTTCATTCTTTTCCTTACCTGAGAATTGCTTGTTTGGAATAAGTTGGTCAACGATTTCGTCGAAAATTCTCAAATGACTACTCAAATTGCCTTCTTGAGGTACTCCACCGTTTCTAAATAAATGAAGGAAACAGTGAACTTATTATTAACGAACCAAATTTGAAAATTACCTGAATTTTCACTACTTTACCTTTTACAGGGAACTCTCTACCTACATATTCAAGCAATAATATTTAATTTCTGTTTTACTTAATGATTATTTTAGAAGCCTGATTTTCTTTGTGATTTTATAATATGGAAAATTGAATTTAACGAACAGATGACGTTTTAGGTCGTCGAAAAACAAATCCGAAAAACTAAGTATCTGAAAAGCTGATCACAATTGAAAACCAATTTTTAATCAACAAATGAACAAAACCTGTGGGTTTCAAACGTGCGGAAGTTGTATCATTTCCGCTTTGTATATCTTTATATCCGGTTTTTCGTTATTGCTTTTGGAGTAAATTTTATTCTTCCTTTAAAGTGATTGTAATTTTGATAACTTACTTGATGCTGCCATCTAAATAATTAATTATATCATTCTCTGCACCTGTATTATCTTAAAAACATTTTTTTTCAGAATTATTTATAAATAAATAACAGCGTGCTCAAAAAGTTTGAAAGCGCTTAAATGTCTGGAAAAAATCGCTTTTGAACGGAAGTAAAAAACACGCTTGTATGTAATACTTTGGAAAAAAACTGGTACATAAATGTAAAACATTATTTAATTACAAAATATGTGTTATTCAAGCCTCTTAAAAAGGCTTATTTATATTGGAATTGGGAGAAATTATATTTTAAATGTGGATCGATATCCACATCGAGGATCCGTTTTAACTAACAAACACGTGAATGTTCAATATTGGAGCCAAAACTTTCCTAAAAATTGTCATAAAAAACTCTAAATTCTTATAAAATCCTTTAAAAAATGTAAAATTATTTTGCCAGTATTAAAAGCCCAATTTGTGTCTCACTTTATGTACGCTTTTAGGACATATTTTCTGGAAATGTTCGAAAAAAATCAACATTTTCAAATATCGTTTTTATTTCCGTTTACAATCACATTTGTTTTAAATTATTTAGAGAACGATTTATTTATATACCAGTAATTCGACCAAATTCCTATTTTCCACCGATTGATGTTCTGGAACCACAATTGTTTTTAATTTAGCGTCTTATTTTGTATATTTTTAATTTAACAGTTTAGAATGGCAAATGCTTCCCAAATTCGTAAAACTTTAAGTAAATACTTAGCACTTTTTAAATTGTGATAGATTTTTCAATGTTTCAATGATTTTCAAATCAAGTTTAAGCAAAAAGGAGCAAATCAATGATTAATAAAGGTGTCAAGTAAAAGTGTAGAGTTTCAAGTCGATTTGAGTTATTCATGCTCGAAAATCGGGAAGAGATAAACAGTTAGTTAAAAGGTTTTAATGAAATTTTCGTTTTTTATCATCGTAATTTTGACTGTTTTAAAATTCTCCCTAGAATTGGCTTTCTTGTGTTCTGTGCAAGACGATAATCATATTTATATAAAAAAATATTTGTTTTCTGTTGTGAATGCAAATACATAGATATAATAGGACAAATAATTGCACAATTGCTTGAATTTTATTCAATATATGAATTAGCTACGTTTTACATTTTTGAGCGGTTTATAATGCGCAAATAATACTGTTTTATAAATTTGAAATGTGTAAATTATGCCCTGCTGGTTCCAACAAAAAATATTTCGATGCATGTTTCATTTTGCAAGAGAAAATCAGAAAATCTATCTTGCAAAAGAATTAATTCTCAATTATGCTATAATATATAACTTTACCTTAAAAAATTGTCTTTTCCATTTTTCAAAATAGCTGGAAAATTTCCTGGATCATACAGGATATTAATTTGTTGGCCTCTAAAAGCTGCATCTTTGTTGTACACAATGCCGTACTTATTTAGTGGTTTTGTAAAGTTCAGTTTGAAAGGATTGCATTGAAACGATGGAACATTCCAGAAAACTTGCAGAGGTTTCTTCGCGACTTTGCTCTCACTGGAAAATAATGAAAAGTGCAATGAGGAGTAAAACAAAATAAAAAATCTCGTAAGTGCTAATACTTATCATGTAATACAGTAATTGAAAATGTGAAACTTACCAAGCAAATAAATTAAAATAAATTCCTATAAGTAGTGTGAAGATTAACGAAATATTTGCCATATTAACAGTAAACCCGTTCGGTTTAAGCTACTGGTAAAAGCTTTAATCACACTTTCGTTAAAGCCGAAAGCATTTGTAACTTAAGTGTTGTAGCACAGGTACTTTATATCATCGGCATGCAAATAAATTTGTGATAATCTTAATTATGGATGTTACCATGTAATGTGTACCTGAAGACAAGTATATATAATTTATGGGTTTATATTTTACTTTTATAGGGGTAACCAGATAAAATGTTAACCTTTATGCATTTTATCATTTGGGTCAGTTTTGCTAAGAAAATCGATTGTATTTGTTGAAGAGGCAGGAAAATAATAAAATGATGAATGAATGTAATAAGCAACCCTTCTTCAATTGCTTGCAACACATTGTTATATTTATTTTTCTCTTTAAGCTTGTTCTACTTACAATTTATCCTGGAACTTGAAAAGTAGAGCACACATTAAACACTTGTGAAACAAACCCATGCCTATATTTAATTTGCAATCACTACTGATAGAACTAATAATAATTGCTTATATACAGAGTCCATACCGGTTGTGATCTGAATAAGCACAATAATTATTATCCTTTGCAAATCAAAACTGTTACTGTAAGTATCAAATTTTTGGGGCGGGAAATATCAGTAGAATCATTTCATATTTTGTGAACCAGATTTGTCGCTAATTTTTCCAACTAATCTGGTACTGTGCCATTGTCGAGGCGGTATTTAGCTGTTAAGTATATTATGCCAAGTGCTTTTAATTGAGTAATAAACTATTAATTGTGGTTAATAGCCGATGTATTAATATGATCTGATGTGGTTTTTTTCCTTAAATTGTCTGTCGGAAATGGAAGACAAGCGAAAAAATCAATTTGAATTATTCACAATGATAAAACCACAAATCATTGTAGTTTTATCATTGTGAATAATTTAAATTGATTTTTTCGATTTTTTTATCATTGTTTTCCATAGAAACCCCTTGGAAACTAGAGTTTCTTCACTTTTAGGTCAATATTTCTAAACAACACTGTCTCTAAGCAGAAAAACCGCGTTTTCCCTAACGTTTTTCTGTAAAATACTGGCAAACTGAATATATTATGCAAAACAATTAAGAGATCGATTTTGCAAGAAAACTCGTCGACTTTCTTTGGACTCAGTTCTATTGCTGCGAAAAATCTAGATTACTTTTATTAGTTGTTTGAACAAAGTAGTAAAACGGTACTTAGAAAAAATGTTAATGACCCTTTGTTAGATCTGAAAATTCCAGTCTCGGGTCTCGTAAAGCTTTAACAAATGAATTATAACTCATTAAGCAATGAGAGCGGCAACATCTCAATAGCGCAACTCAACACAGTGTTACCCAGGCCTACAAAAATGCATTATAACTACAATATACCTAACAACAAAAATATGTAAATTATTTCGTCTTTTGAGTAGTTCTTAAATAATTTTTATTTCAAATAAATAAAAACATTCCATGTTTTAAGAAATCTACTGGTATCTATTAATTTGAATAATATTGCGATTAGTTGAATGTTTTGGAGCGTGAAATTTTGGTATCAGTTACTAGATTATTTAGACTTAATGCTAGTTTTACTATAAAAATGCAATGGCTAAAATCTTCAGTATATCAAAAGTTTTAGACAACTTGCTGTGTTTACTTAGTTAAATTAAACTTCGAACTACAAAAAATAGCAGTTTAAAAGTAGGAATTTTGGACACAATTTGAAAAACTAAATTAAATTCAAACCAATTTCCATTCACCTTATTACATGTAAGCAGCCACTAGCAAATGCGATTAAGCGTAATTTAAAGACCATTCCTTACGATTGTAAGCTTTGAAATAATCTTAATTTTTAGTAGAATTGCCTCGGAGCTACTGTGAAATTGATTTTGTGATTCAAAAAATACAAAATTTGAAAATGTTATTAAAAATACGCATATGTTTGTCAGCTTCACAAGAAATTATTTGTGAGGGAAACATAATTTTTGAAATTTTTAATAAACATAACATGCTCCAAAAATTGGTTTTTAAAGGAGAACCTGAAAATGGATTGTTTGTATAAGTTTTTCAAAGGAATCAGCTCAAGTTATACCATTTGGAATTATTTATTAAGTGATAAAAACAATTTTAAAATTACATTCTTAACAATGTTCCAGATTATTTAAGTAACAAAGCGGACACCGTGTCAAGTTTTTTAGTAAACATACTAATAAAAGCGTGTTCTAAGAACGAAGAGCGCCAACCAGAAAAAGCAGGTAACCCTTAGAAATTGTTTTAACATCGTTTTCGCACAAAATTTTTCGTGCTCGTACTATATTTGGAATTAACTGAACACTTGATAATTAAAAAGCTGTTTCAGAATGCCGAAAGATCTCCTTAGGTTTTCCTTAAGTCAGAAGACTTATTTTTCTTATGCCACCCTCTACATATAGAATGTCAGTAAACAAGCCAATAAAAATTGCCAAAAAGATCTATAACCAGTAACAATAACCATTAAAATCGCACTCAGATCGTTTCCGTGTAGGATTTTTCGCTTTTGTACTATTTTGGGATCAATTTAACTAAGTACTTGACAAAATTAACAAGAATTTAGCGCGGTGAGGTTTTTTAAAAACTCTGATATTTCCTAAACACATTTACATTTGTTTTTTCCATTCTTAGCAATTCCAGAAAATGTATTAGGAAAGAGCAACAGCAGAAAAGCAAAACACAAAATCATTGTCTCCTATTGTCCACCAGTACGCCCCGATTTATCACCCATTGATTGTAGTTGGAACTCGGTTTAACCAATCGCTTACAAATTCTTACCATACTGTTAAGGGTCTACATTAAAAAGGGTCTACATTAAAATGTATTTTTGGTTTAAATCTACGCCCATCGCCCACCGGGCAGACAAACATTGATATTCCGAATACATTACCGAACTTTGCTTTATTTTTATTAGTGGTCAAACATAAACTCTTTAATGTTCAGCATTCTTTTTAAATTATATTTCTAGAAACTTGTTTTCTAGCATTAAATTCAGCATCATATCGTAATAAAATGCAGACTGTTTTAAGCTGTTCCTGCTTTTCGCGATCTTGTTCATCAATGGTATATTAATATACCATTGATGAACAATTGTTCTAGTTTAAACTATGTATTTATTTTTCTATGTTAAGTTTTTCCAAAAAACTTATTTTTGCCTTATTTTATTTTAAATTGTCCTCCTCGTAGAAAAGTTAAATGTGTCTAGGTTTGATGTCAAAATAAAAACATCTTTGCATCAATTATTAATGCATTTGTAAGAAATATTTCTTCCTCAAAACGTGAAAAATGTGTTTTGAAGAATGAAAATCTCTAAAAAACTGTAAGTGTTTCTGGGATGAAAGTATTTCCAGTAAATTTTGCCTGCAGTAAACGTAACAATATGCTCGCCTTAATTGTACATAGACAGATAATCCTACATTTTGCTAACAAATTCTCTTATTCGTACTTCTCCTGGAAACACGGTTTTCCACCACTTTTATTCATTAAAATTTGCTATTTACTGATAAAGTGACAAAGGACGTGCAAAGTCCTCTGTTTGCAAACGTGTAATAAATTTAAAAAAGTCGAAACGGAATAATATTTATTATTTATTATTAGGTTACATGATTAGCTAAAATAGGACATGTATAACAAACTTTTAACTGTTATGCAATTTTTCAGTTCTAATTTATTAGTGTTTAGAAGCGAAAAATGCAGCTAATGTTTAGTGTGTTAAGCGATTAATTTTTAAAATTTGTTGATTTATTCATTTTCTTACAGTGCCTTTATAAAACATAAATAATAATATATAAAGGCACTGTACATTTTCTAACATGTATAAAACCGTTTTTTGTTATCGTTTTAAAAAGGATGGTAAACCGTTTGCTGATTTTTTTTCACATCTGCAATGTTTATTTTTGCTGTTTTTCTTCCGACATATTTTTAAACAAAATACCTTAATACCTACTTTTCCAATTTTAGTACAATTTTGTGGGCAAAGTATATATAAGTATACCTGGACTCCAATCAACTTTAGAGAGTTTAGCTTGTTTCAAAAATATTCACTTAAATTCCAGCGAACAGATTCAAAAATTCGCGCTGATCCTGAATTGGTGTACTGTTGGTTGCATAATCACTACATGTATATGAGGGGCTTCGCCATGAATATCTTATTTCTGCTTGCAACCCCATGTAAAATACATTTTAGTACTAATTGGAAAAACTTCATGCGTTGAAGTTAACTAAACTTATTATTAAATACGAGTTTGTTTGCCTTTCCTCCTAGGAAAACCTAAAGAAAAGAAAATTGTACCTGGAGGTTGCCAAGTTGATAAAATTGTGGCAGAAAATTAGCAAAATGATCTGGGACAAACATTTTTCTGAGTACTTCAACTAATTTTGTTTCGAGAAAAAGCACTATCCTCTAACTAGATGGTTCTTTAGCTGCTTATTAGTAAAATGAAATTTTGCCCTTTACCATTCAGTTATTTTCAGCTTCTACTCAGCTTTCGTCCAGACCTCGACCTGGCAACTATAAATCGAGGCGACATACTTTAAGTTATAAATTGTCCCAATGTTTTTCTTAATGAAACTTTGAATTTGTAAAAAATTCGATTTTCAAAATGAATTCATATGTTGCCCTCTGAACTGTGAATTTCCGCATACAAAATATTCGAAAAATGAATATTCAGTCTACGTCTATTAGGAAAGTAACAGTCGGTTCAGCCTTTTCGTCAGTCAATTTTTGTACGGGTTCTCGTCTAATAAGAAGTGCGGTTATGTGCGGCTACTGTTTGGGTTGAAAAAACTTGGATAATTATTGTATGGTAAGTGGAGAAATTGTATGTTTTCCTTTAGACTGAATTAGTGTTGTTGTTTACCTTATTTGAGAGTGTTTTGATGTTAAATTAATGCAATTGAACGGTGAAATTTGCAAAAAACCGCTGTTTACCAGCGGGCCAGCCTATAGGTGCCTAAATATACAATTTTAAAAAGTGTCATGTGGTTAGATTTTTTACTTATTTGCAATTTTAATTAGTTCATTAATTAACAGAGTGTTTAAGTCATTGCCCTTGTTCACTTCTTTTAGCACCATGTCCTAATCTCTATAGGCTTGCACCTGAGATACGTATACTTTGTAAATAGATTATTAAGAAATTTAGGTACCTACTAATTTACAGTTCAATATCTCTGCAGTGTCTGCTATATAAATATACAATAAGCTATATAAATAAGTTCAGTAACTGCTACTGAGCCCTTTAGCTTTGAACAATATGTCAGGGAGCATCTTGGCAAAAGTCGATTCCAAAACAAAACTAATCAACAGATGGGGAAAAACATGCGGTCATGCTGCAATAAATTATATCATTCCAATCCTACCTGGATTAAGGGGAATTTAATAATTGATAATAAGTTGATGAACTGCCTGGAACTCATAGATAATAAAGACTAACACAATACACTCACTCAGTTCGGTTTAAGGTTTTAGTTCGGTTGAACATTGAACATATTATTGCAATTAACTTACATTCGGCTGCAGAACTATTTTTTTAAATTGTAATGTTATGTTGTCGCTGTTAATTAAGTTAGTAGGTAAGAGTAGTGAAAAGTATTTTTAATATGCGATTATTTATTAATGAAACGTTAAGTAAAGGATCAGTTAAAAATATATCCCAAACTAAGTACCTATACAGAACGTTGAAAAATACACAAACATGTTTAGCTTTTTAAATTGCAAATCGCAAATTTCGAAGTCAGTATTGCAATTTGCCATTAAATGATAGGAAATAGTTAACATGAAAAAATGTCTCATCGGCTATTCAACCTGCATATTTATAATGCCATTAATAAATTCTAAATCGGCACTCTACATTTCTGCTACTTTCATTCCATTTTACAGATAACGTAACCTAACGGTATAAGCGCAACAACGCAAGCATAGCGACAAACCGGAATCCTATAATATGACTCGCTTACAACTCTGTTTCTTCAATTTCCATTGAACGTTTTTCTAATAATTTATTCTTTTTTTCATTTCGGAATTTCACATTCCACCTAATCAGTCATTGCAAACTCTGAATGTTTTAGTTAGTAACACATAATTATTTTACCGTCCAGAACCCCCAAAAAAGCTTAACTTGCGAAATTAATTAATAATCGTTTGACTATTACGTTAACGTTGACCGTTATGAAACACACATTAGCAAAGACTGAAGAACTAGGGCCTTCTGAAAGCAGCAAATAAAGCGAATGGAAGACGAAGAAATTGCCGCAATTACCCGACAGGAGAACAGAAGAAAATCACGCCAAGCGATAAATAAAGCTGAAGGTAAATTGCTAAGCGAAAAGTGTTGAGGAATAGAATAATTGTAGAACACAGGCACGACAGCAAAGGCAAATTTAGAAGAGAATGATTTAGGTCGACTTTGCTCGCTTATTAGATAGAGATTAATATGGTATCTTCTATCACAAATAAATCTTCTTGTAGATTGATGTAATTAATGCGCTAGAAAATCGCCTGCATCTAAAATTATTTAATTTCTTTCAACTAGGCGTTTTAATTTCAGTCGATTTTACCAATGCTAATAAAGGTGAAGACACTGTAGGCAACACGCCAGTTTAATAATTTAAATAGCGGGTGTTGAAGGCAAAATAGCAGCTCAATTCAATCGATTTCTAATCGGGTAGAAAATGTTGATGCTGAAATATATCCCAATGAAAGCAGAGATTTATATGTATTCCAGCCCCACTATCGGTTAGTGTGGCGACAACAAAATGATCTGTTTCCGCCCTTAGGAGTCTCAGAAGTCGGCATAGAGCTTTAATGGCAGAGGGCCACCTAACTGCAAATGAAGGTGGAAAATTCATTTTGTGATTTAGTTAACAATTGACGCAGAATAAAATACTTTTTTAAAAAGAGATTTATTATTTTAATTCAATCGAAACCTGTCCTAGATCTCGACTATGTGACCCTCTCACACTCAGATTGAACACTGGATCCACATAAAAAAAAGTTTGAAGAATTAGTGAACAAACGAAAATGTATTTCAAACTGTTACTCATTTCAAAATGTGGTCCACTGACTACTGGCTACTAAGGCAGGTGACGAAGATTTGGAAGATTATTGACTTAGAAAGAGTCAAGATATTGGAAATCGAGATAGTAAAACCCTTAGAACAAAGAAATTAAGAAAAGCATTAGGATGTGGTGTAGTGCAAGTCGAAAGTTTTCTTGTAAAGTTATTGATGAGAACCACCTGAACACCGAGTTCGATCGGACTGGTTAACGGCTATGAAACTCCCAAAAAAGTGCGTTTGTTTTATAAGCGTTATGTGAAAGATGGACATCAAAGACAGCAATGAGTAAATTAAAAGCATCTTAACTGAAACTGAGAGGAAATCTATGGATATAATGCATATGCAACCGCTAATTTTCATTTCACCATTATAATTAAAATAATTATTGGTGAAGAAATTAATCTCAATCCAATTTATATTTCATTAGATACCTACAAAAAAAAATAGTAATTGTCCACAACTCAATAAAATGATAATAAATCACTCTTCTGTTACGAACTCATTCAACATTTTTTGGTGGTTCGATTTGGTAGGCTGCGATCTTAGTCTGACTTGGTACTGGGTAAATTATGCAATCTTATTGGTGCGGCAATATCAGAAGATTCGTACCGGTCACGTGATTGGAGGCATTGGAACATGCCACTCGGTAATGTTTAGCAAAAATCGACCTCACGAAGGCCATGAGAATTTTAAGTATCTCTTTTATTATTGCTGTTGCCTAATGTTATAGTAAATGTAAACAAACATCTTATTGTAAATGATATGTTTACATTTTAATGAGAATTTATCAAAAACTTAATTTGAAATACTGGATATATTTTCTTTTTTTCTTTTAAAAGCTGTTTAAAGCTTCTTCGGGATGGTTTTCTAAAAAACCCTCGATAAATGCAATGATTTGTGTGTCTCAAATAGTATAACGATTTTATTCACTTTTTCTTTGTTGCTTTTTCCCTTTTTAGTGCAGGATCATATGAAGTTGATACTGTTTCGTAAATGAAAGAAGAAAATACACATTGTTGAAACTAAATTAGCATGATTCATTCGATAAGATTTATTAGTTTGGGGTTAATATATGTATAAAAAGTACACATTTTTGAAAATAGATTCAAGTGATTTCCAATTAAAACTGGCCATGAACAATAGAAAATACATTTTCGCTTAAAGGAATACTTCAAAAGTCAAAAGCAGTACATACTTTACTATCAATTTCATGCACTGTCGATTAAGTTTAATGAGTACCTACTTATATCACTTAATTTGAAGGCAATTTCAATACATTAAACTAAATACTCTGAAAGTAGTTATTATGCATCTTGCATTCGTGTTTCATTATATCCTTATCTAAATGACAATTTTCTAATCTTGCGCAGGTTCGTGCTAAAAAAGCAAGTAATAAAAAAAAATCGACATTCGACAATAATTTTTTTTACAAATTCAAAACTAAATGAGAATTCAGGCAATAGAAATAAGATAATAATACAATACAACAATACATTTGAATTTTTTTTTGTTGCTTGATGTAAACTGCTCAACACAATAAAAATTACATTGCCAAATTTGCCCTAAATTTGAAACTGGATATATTCCTATTGCTACCAGCGATTTAATTTCTTTTTGAAGAATCCATTGTCTAGTTCTGTTCTTTTTCTGTCCATCCGGGTATTTGCAAAAAATTTAATAATTTAGAGTTTCTACACGGAGAAAAACCAAAGAATGAACATTTTTACAGTTTGGCATGCTCCCGATTGAACAAAGAAAAAACTGTTTTTACCATGAAAGAGATATTAAGATAGAGAGAGGCAAAGACAGTGTTTGAATTTGGTTTTTTTTACAGGGTGATATCAAAAAATCAACTTTTGGGCTTGCATTGATCATATTTTTCCTCTTGGCCCGATTTTCAGGATCTACCTAGAGCTCATGTTGAAGCTAAAACTTAATAGTCGACTTAAGCTAAAAGTCCATGTAAAGAGTTGCATGAATAAACGGATGGTTCGATAGTGAACTTCACTTTAGCTAAAAATTTGCCAGAATCCTAGATTTCGAGGGAAGTTCTGATTTGAATTTTTGTCTTAAGATAACTATGAAGTTTTACCTACAACAATATGTATGTCCAAAAAAAATGCTATTTTTTTTGGGATCACCCTGTAAATAATCGAAAAGGGCGAAAACCCGATTCGAGATATGAAATCTACCTTTATGCCTTTGCTCTTGAAGTCCAAAAAAATGTTCTTTTGCGCAACTGGGAGGAAGCCAAACTTTGGAAAATTTTGCATTGTTTCATTTTCCACCCTGTCGGAATTTTATTTGAATTACTTAATTTTTGCCAGGGCAAGGACTGGCAGAAAAAAAATTGACTATTTAAAACTTCGTACAGAATTAAAATCGATTACAGCAATCAGAATTTACTCACTTCCAAAGTGAACTCAAATCTGGTCCTGTACGGATTATTTTGTTGAGTAAGAATTTAATTTTTTTATTTGCTAAATCGGTATGTATAATTCCATCAATATGGAATTATCTAATAGCTCTAATTACGAAAATTTTTTGTTAAAATGTTATGTTATAACAACTTACATTTTCGATAGACATAAGAGTTTTTGACTCAGACCTGATAACAACCAAATAATAGTATCTTTCGTTTGAGCTGTTTCCATTATAAGTCGCAAGAAATTCTTTTTTGGAATCGATATGGCAACAATTTGGATTAATAAAATAGTAAAATCGTCTAAATTTTACTACTGATACTGTCGTCAATGTCATATTATTTCCCAGATTCCCACTTAATTCCTATCTACCTTTTTATTCTGAACCATAAAACAAAACCGATCGTTAAGATTAACGACTGGTCAAAACGAAATGCTGACTCCTAATTGTTGGAAAAAAATCATCGAAGTTTCATTCATCCTGTTCGAAGGACCAACATGTTTTCTGCAAGTGGAGGATCATCAATTATGGAAAATCGATTTATGTAATACAATAATGTAACATATTTTAAGGCTGTGAATACAATCTCTAGCTTATATAACTTAAATAAAATCTATAAGATTAGGCTCACAGTTTTTATTTCTAATATCGCTTCTCTGGCTAAACAAAGTTGTTCACGTGGAGATGTAGTAATTCCATTCAATAGCACAGCTTCTGTTTTAGGCAATTTTAACAACAATAAAAGCACTCGTTGCTCCAATCAAGCCTTATCTCAAATCATACGAAGCGTAATGGAACATTTAACAAAACATTGGCAAATCACAACAGAAACACTCCCAAATCGTTAAAGAAAACTGAGGCTTTTGCTTTTAAAGTCACACAAGGGTATTCCATGCGAATCACGCCAAGGTTATCTCCGATCCAATTTAGAGATATTAGATGTATTAAAAGTTTCTAGCTTAATTTTTGAGTTAGTTCAAACGGGACATTTTAGCTAACAGCTCTACATTTTCGTCTCGATATCATTTGACGAGTTTTGGTTATTAATGATACTCGTGGTAGGTGCTACAGTTGTGACTATTGGTGTACTGTTGGTTTACTCTTTAGTAGAGGTGATTTTCCGAGGAACGTCTATTGAGTCTAGTAAGTTTTGTTCAGTGTTTATGTCCTTTTTCATATTTATCTGGACGATTTTTTGCCTCTACTTTTTGACATTCACTGAATAATTTTATATCGGCAATAAGCTAGATTTACTATGGACCTTAATCTATTAGTAAAATATGGGTGGTACCATGAGCTTGGAAACTATTGTAACAAATAATGCAAATGTATTTATAAAGTATTTATTATTATCATCGAAGCTAATTACGGTTTTGAATGCGTGTGTGCTCACTACTGTAATCCAGAATTACATAGTGCGTGATCCCTTGACCCTCGACCTTTTCCTTATTCGCTACCACGAGATTTGCATAAGGTCAAAATTGCGGACAAATCAAAGTCAATTTTTGTGTGGCAATTGTACTGATCGAATAGGAATTTGCTGGTTTTTTGAGTATCAAAAAATATCATTCTCCAAGTTAAGAGCTGACGATTTTTTCTTTTTTTTAGAAGAACTAGGCCCAATCGCAGACAACCCGGACCCAAAATCCGAAGAGGGTAAGCCTATTCATGATACAAAAGAAGAATAGAGTCAATTAAGCTGAATAAAATGGCTGAACAACCGGTAGAAAACGGGGTCGCCAATAAAGATCATGCACATTGGATTGTGGGTGAGTTTATCATCAAAAATACAGCATGACCACTCTATGAATGCAAGTACCTACTTTGAAATACTGTGCGTGATTAGACCGTTTTCTTTGGTGTTCATTATCTAGTGTTTTACGGTCTGACAGTGTTTTTGTTTCAAAGGGGATGAATCGTATGATGACTTTCCGGAAAACGGAGATGAAACTGACAGCATGCCTCCACCAGCACGTTCGGTCGGCCAAGGAGGATTGGGAGGCCTTTCCCAGGCGGAACAAGCGGCCTTAATGGAGAGAAGGAAGCGATTGAAGTAAGTAATAAGAATCGCCAATTTATTTTATTTTTAATGACTACTATTAGAGGTACATAAGGATACCAAGTAGAGCAGCAGTTCACTTTCAAAAGTGAAAGGCTACTGCATTTGATCATATTCTAATCTACGTTTGTGAAATAGACACTTTTATGTATGTCATTTAACAGTTTTCTTTATTTATTTATACTTATTACAAACTTCTTGTTGGGTRTTTCACCTMAAAATTTTTTTTWATTYGAAATACCCAACAAGCAGTTTGTAAAAAAAATKKATTCGCCTCAACAATATAGAATTTATCTATTTATACTTAGTTATTATACGGTTTACTGGAGCTCGAATAAAACTCATTTTTTGTCCTTGTAAAAATGCACGTCAGCCTTGTGCTTGTTTTATAATAAAATCATTACAAAAGTTAAATTATTGGCATATGAAGAAGAAATCTTTACAAATGCTTGGTTTTTGTGTGGTAAAGTATCCATTATATTTCTAAAGAATTGACATTGAAATTACATATGAAGCTTGTGTTTTTTTAATGAAACACCCTATATATAGTTACATTATTAAATTGTACGAAAATAAATTAAGRTAATATAGAAAATAATTTTGATATAACGTGGAAAAATATGAAACTGCAATTTCACTTTCTGCAATTATTCACGTTGCATAATTTATCACATTACTAAAAGGACTTTTTTGTTACTTAATAGAAATTCAATTTCAATGGAAATGTATGGATGTCCAAAAACTTTCGTTTCAAAACAGGTCCGACTCAAATTTCTCGCTTATTTCAAATGGGACACTATTTGTTTTTACATCATCGGGTAAAAAATTTAATCCTTTTCAAAAAATCATTAGAACAGCAACTCACCATTTTGCAAATAATTGCGTTTCATTGCAGAGATATTGAAAGTCTTAATGGAAACTGATATTTTATGAGAAAACAAATGGACTTAATTAAAGAACCAACATTACTAACAGTAAATGCACACGTGAGAAACTATAACAATTACAATTACAGAAATAATTAAAAAAATCGGCTCATAGAAGGCACTGTTCCAAATGCCTGCCTTAATTCATATTATCGTGAGTTATGATAAGAGGAGTGTTTTAAACTATATCTTTAATAGGACTAATATAAATCTAAACCGTTAAATCTGAGGAACGAGACGGCCAATCTATCTCAATCCACTTACTTAAAAAAATTTGGTAATAAAAATCGCTATTAGGTATGTTTCTATTAACCCACTCCAAACATTAATAGTTTTTCATTCGAACTAATTGGCCATTTATTTCACTATACTAATAAAAATTGGGTTATTGACCGTGCCATTTTTATGGAAATTGCATTTATCTGTAAATAGTACATTATCAAAACCGCATATTTAACTCGCAGCTTTTTCAAGGTTCCAAACGCAGGCCGGAATTTTGGTCTGGAAATCCAAATCGCATAATTCTTGATGCAAATGAATTTTATATGGATGAAACTTAAATCTTATAACTGTTCTGGAAACACTGGTTCGGGTAATACCACTCAGAGTGCATATGTTTCTTTAACTTTAGTAATTATGTTCTGTTAATGAACCTATTGGTTCAAATTGGTTTTCTCTGTCTTCAACTACTGAATTGTTTCTGCACACTTTTGCAGAGGCCACTGATCCTAAAAGTTATGATGATTCTTTCCAACACGGTTTTATTTGGGTGATTGCGATCAGGAAATCGTTGCGCATAAACTTTTGTTGTATAGACCTTTCTAACTATTCGCCTATGATGAGAATCGTATCAGTTCTTTACGCTGGACTAAACTGCTCCCAGTTTGAAGTTTTATACGACCGAATAATACCGGGCTACTAAATTTTAATATAGTATGAGTTTCCATTATGACTTTTAGCATTCGAACAAATCGCATTTATCGGCAAAACGGTTGATTTTATAGGTTTATGTTATAATCTGTTTTAGGAAAGCAGTCATTTTTGCTCCCGATGGAGTAAAAACATATAGGGTGTCCCATTTAAAATAAGCGAGAAATTTGAGCCGTGGAATTTTGAAACGGAAAGTTTTCGGATATCCTTCCAAATTTCTATTGAGTTTAAGTTTGGCTTAGTAGTAAAGGATCCTTTTAGTACTGTCATAATTTTTTCAGCGTAAATAACTTGCGAAGTGATTCTACAATTTTTTAAACGTTGCCCTACAATTTCACAGTTTTCCACTTATCAAAAAGGGATCACAATTACTATATTATGCCTTAATAGAGACGTACTATTATTTTTACAGAATAATTTAAACAATGTAAACATATATAGGATGTTCTATTAAAAAACACGCGTTTTGGGTTAATGTATAGCTTGTACTACTTAAAACACGAAATATCACCAAAAATCCGTCTCGAAATACATGTTAGTTTTCCCGTGAGATAAAGTCTAGAATGAGGTGGGCCACTCGGTATATTAACGAATGAGACGCGAAAAAAATGGCCAAAAAACATCTTTTATTGTTAATTAGATGCAACGTTAAATTACAAAGGAGCTACCATTCTTTAAAGAATATGCCAAATTACGCTGAATTTAAATGTTCGTGAATGGCAACAGCTTCTTTTTTCCATCCAGGCTTTTGGATGGTCATTTGCTAAGTCTAAGCTAGGCTCATGAGGACTGATTGGTTCGAAACTGGTCCTGTTTTAAACACATTTTTGAAATCTGTGCTTGTACCAACAACAATAACTTTTACATGAAAATATTGTAATTTTTATACGTGTTGGGTCATCCCGATATCTTATACGAGCCGTGCTAATTTTGCATCACCCGGTATGTTATCGTTAATAAATCGTAACAGCATGCATTTCCAACTGATTAATTGTTTTTTTAGAACCCAATTACGTACAGTAAAGGTTCATTAAAACAGAACAGCTTAAATAGATGCAGAGAAAAATTTCCAATTCATAAACGCAAATCATTGTCGCAGCTTTTTTTTTGGTAGTAAAAGTAATTCGCTGAAAATAACGCATTTTGATTGAAGGAATTTTTGCAAAATATTGAATTAACATTCTCAACGAAGGAATGGATTCAGTCCTCAACTAATGTGACAAAAAAAATACTGACATTGTTTCAGGCAAATTTGTCTTATCCGAAAGTTAATAGTTTTCGAGGTACCGGGTGTCAAAGTGTAAATAAAATTTTCGTTTTTCCTTTGTAGATTTTTAACCAGTTTTGCTATYACCAAAAAAAAATTGTGTTTGAARGTTTTTTAGACCTAGAAATCCACATTTCCTTACTTAGCTTGTAGTTCCTATAGAACTYTAGCTGCACTAGGCACTGGACTGCACTGGAGCCATTTAAAACATCAGAAATTTGTTGGCTTTAAAATAAATATTTTTTTATCGGCAATAAGTCGATATYTCTCACCGTTTTCGGGATATTTCTCATTGAAACCTATAGTGATTTTTTGAACCAGATAACTCAAATTGAATCGCTAAATAAAACAAAACTTACAGAAACATTAAACATCATTTATTTAAACTGCCTTTTAAACTCAGTAAAGTAGGAAATTATAATTTCAGATAACTCTTTAACTTCAATGCATTTATTAACACTTTACAGAATGCTTGTCGTATTGAAAAAAAAAATGTTTCGGAATTATTCTACAGCATTTTTTTATTGGAAAATAAGTTATGTCTGGACAGTTTCAATTCAAATTGAATTCATTCAAATTTCAATTTCAATTCTTTGCTTATGTGTTTTTAACTTTGCCTCATCTGTTTCATATGAACAAAAAATATATATTTATTGCTGAGTTAAATGCTTTTAAAACCTCCGATTTGGTTTTTTGGATCATTGACTTCGCAGCTTAAATTATTATTTGTACCTGAAGCATTTGAGATTTAAATATTTTTTTAATGTTTTGAACACTTTTGTTGTTTGAACCTTTTCTTCTATCGTGAGTGACAAGTGACTAGAAAATATGCTGTTCCACCAAATCCAAGTTCAAGAATACCAATATTAAAACTTTTTTGTTATTATTTAAAAATGAGCTTTTTCCCAATCAATCATAGAAACTCTCCGCATACAGTCATGATCGATTAACCGACCATTTTCAAGCTACGCTTTCGATTGGCACGATGCGCTTTTCCTTCGGTTTTCCCTGTGCCAACATTCTGAAGTTGGCATCTGAGTGAAGTGAAACTGAACGAAAACAAGTGAAACACAACTGGATTTAGTTTGTGTCATATTTTCGCCAATAGCAAAGGCGCGCCTCTGATCGTACGAGGCCGCGTCATTATAGCGCGACATAGTTTAATCGATTCTCGCTTGTTTTGTCCTGTGTTTTGAGTGCCTACCAGCAAAGTTTTCTTAATAATCAGTTGTTTAATTGAATGTTGAATTAAAGTGTTCCTCAATTTGATTTGAGAATGGTGAGTTCTGTCCATGCCATTGTCCCACGCCGATTCTGGAGTCGAATTTTGGCGTCAAAATGCTGCTTTTTGAAAATCATTTACTGTTTTGTTAAGGCAAATTGTCCGTTTTTTTGAACCCCGTTCTTGGTTTAGTTAAAAAACATTTAATTGGACAATTTCTTTTTTAATCCCGCAATATTGTTGGTTAGAATCAAAACATTGCCATAAACCAAATTACGTATTCGTACATACACCTAGTTTTATCATACACCCACATATAGGTAAAAAGTAAATAAAATCAGGTGTTTGCCAAAGACTTGCTTTCCAAAAATTCATTGAACTAAGCACGTTTTCCTGCTGATTTCCATGTGATTATCAGGATTCTGTTCAGTACCTAAAGCTGATAACCGAATGCGGTTTGCGCGTTCATCACTCAGAACTGGACAATTTTAATTTACTTACTTCCGCAGAAAGTCATCGGCGTTTTGAGGTCAATGTGTTATTGTTTGCATAAGAAGTTACTTAAAACCAAGCAAACATTTGAACGTCAATGTAGCGAAGTTAATTGAATAATTTTAGTCCAAGCCAAGTCCGGAGGCACATAAATAATTTGCTCAGAATCGCCATTCACTTGACAAACTTAGATGCTAACCCGTAAAAAAAATTGCGGCTTTTTTCAGGCTGATGAAATGTACCAATTTCTCTCTGCAAAATTGTTTAGAACATTCGTTATTTTTGCATATCTGTTCAAAATCAAAAGATTCTTTTGAACCCAATTGTGCCTCAACATCTCTATTTAGTTAATATAATCAAAAACAAAACGTGCGTTGTGTATTTGAAAAATTTTGGATGGATTGTGTTTTTAAACAATTTTCAACAAACATTTTCTCTTTGTTGAATTTCTATAACGTAACGATATCACTGCTCATTGAATATAATTTTTTTAATTATAAGCGTTTCTTCGTTTTTATACGTTCAGTTTTATGCCACTGTAGTTAAAGTAATTTTGATGAAGAAACTTGGTAATTAGTTTCCAGTTCGACGTGAACACACTTTATCGCTTGTAACTACGCCATAGGCACGTATGATTAATTGTCCGTTCCAAGGGTGATTGGCAAAAATTATGGTTGTTTTTAGCTTAAACTGGAAATGTTTAACCGTGCATACGGAATAAATTATAAAGAACATCGGTTAAAAGCATTTTGCCAGCTTGGCAACTTTTCAAATGGAAAAAAGGCAGTTAAATAGACAAAAGATAGACAATAATTTGTGTGTTGCATTTAGTCAAGTTTGAGCTATGCTGGAGTTACATGTTTTCGATTTAAATCAATTTAACCTTTTGAATACCTTGACGCAAACAGTGCTTATTTAATATTCATGGCATTGAATGACTATACAAAAATGATCACTTTCAATAGTTATCGCAGAAAATTTCAAACTAACATCTTTATATAATTAACTAGATAGGTTCTTAGTACGAAAACGCATTTATTTTTTATTAAGAAATCGATACTGTTTGCTCATAAATTATTATATTTCTAAAGCCTGTAAATATCGATTTAAAAATTATAATGGATTTGGAGAAGTTAACGGAAATTAAAATTTCTCTTTTACCTTAAAGTTTCTTTTATCTCGTCTTTTTATTGGTTGATTTTAATATATCTACGCTTAAATATTTTTTCAAATTAATTTAATTCAAGTTTTTCTACATAAAGTGGGCGCCCAGGTCGGATTGAAATTCTGAGGAATTTTATATTAAATGAATCAGTTCCAAAATCGCACCATTCGAAAACTGAAACTACTAAAATATTTAATCTTATTGCAATTTCTTAAACATACTGGTGATTCTGCGAAAAAATTTCCTCGTATTTCGTAATCCAAAAGGAAGTTTTAAAAATATTCAAATAACATTTGCTTTGCTTTGCGAACATTTACAACGACTGATAGCGAGAGGAATGTAAATAGGAAGAAAATCTTTCGTGAAAAAATTGAAACAAATATTCTATTAAATGTAACTGAGGGTGCACAAGTATCATCTCTCCTTAAACCAAGAACTACAAGGCAAATATTTTGCAAACAGCAGGGAAATCGAAAATGAAATTGAGCTCAATGCGTATCTCATATTGTGCTCAATAGCACAACAATAACCCTCATTTATTATTAAAAATCTTATGATCGGTTGACAATCGCATTGTGGTCTAGCAACATTTGGGAGCGATTTTGGGGAAACGAAAAATTATTGTCGTGTATGTATTAGGAATATTTGTGGGGAGTGTTATACCTTTAATTGTTCGCAAATTATATCCAAGAATATTTGGAAAATGTTCCGCTTAATGTGAGTTAAAAACAATTTCTTGGCCTGCCCAAGCTCCAGAGTTGACGCCGTGCGATTTCAACTTATGGGGGTTACGTGAGGGAACATTGATTAAGTTACACCACCCGACGACCTAGTGATGCAAAACAAAGAATTATGGGTGCATTTTATGGAATTTTCGAACAAAATTTATTAGATGTTCTTCCAAAATCACAAAAAGTGGGTAACAATTGTGTCTTGAAGATCAGGGATTTAATAGTTTTTTTTTTTATTTAAATAACTGTGTTTTCCAAAAAATACAAATAAAATAACATTAAAAAAAGTTGTGAATTAAGTGTTCTTTTTAAATTTCAATTAAAATCTACAGGGTTCAATTGATCAAGTATTGTTGGATCGTGTACGACCATATGTGCGACCCTGTATAATACGTTGCAGTGGCACACCTTTTTATTTGAAACAATTTTTAAATTTCCTTCTTGCTTCAGGCATATAATCCTGTGTATTATGTAATGTTTTGTAAATATTTAAATTAGAAATAATAAAACTAAAAACCTGCAGTTTAAATTGAGATTTCCTTACCTCCTCATTGGTCTGCGAGTATCGCCATTTGAATTCAATTTTATTAAAACAATACGTTTGTTAAATTATTGTTATAAATAACATTTTCGCATCTACACGTGTATCTACACGCGCATCACTAAACAAATTTAAAACTTTCTGCTACAATGGATTTGATCTTTTCGTTTATCGGGATTTGGTTAATTGCTTAATTACTCAGGAATTATTTTCATGACTATTCTCGCTGTTTTTATTACCATTTGCATATGCTGTACGTAGCTGAATTTGCTACTTTCAAGCTTCAACCATGTCATTCGCTGCTGATCTTAAGCTTTTTGAGTAGTTTCAGCTGACTTTTTGTAGAAATAAAACTCAATAATTCAATGAGGGAGCCATTGAATTCCATTAAAACGCACTTAGAATAATAACTAATTAAAAAAGATCCTACAAAAGATACATTTATATAAGATATTCTTCGGAATTGCATCATTTCTCTGCTATTTAATTCAATGGTATCCTGCCAACTATTGCCAATGTCAATGCCAGGGACCGTGTTGAGAGCGGAACACTTAAGTTATTATTTTTAGCTGTTGACCCACTTTTTATTTAAAAAGTAAATGGAAAGCGATCGGTTCTGCGGGTTAATTATCTTACGTGCGCTATTTAAACGAGTATTATTCGTAAGTAGCATCAATTCAAAGTGAGCACTTCTACTGGCATAATTGCAACTCCAGAAGTCCTTAACATCATCTGAATTCAACAAAATAAAAGTAGACATTTTTACGCCGAATTTCCGCTAAGCAGCAATAAAAAACGTTTCCTTTTAGGTATAAAACCTGACATTAACAACGATGGTAATTGAACGTAAAGAGAGTGTCAAGGAGCGTTATTAAAAACAAGTTTTTCAATGTCCAATGTTGGATGACACTTTCGTATTAAAGCAGCGAAGAAAATCATTGCTTATGAGCAAGTTGGTGGATAAAGTGCTGTTCGTGTTCAGCTTTCTGTTTAGTTTCGTCAGACAGGCGAGTTTTTTGATTTATCAGTTCACGGCGTTTACCGATTTTGGCGGCTACTTGAGCGAAGGAGAGCCAGAGATTATTAACAAGTACGTTGGAAAGGCCGTCGAAATTGAGGGGACTAGTGAAACGCCGGCTAAGCTAAAGCGGCCAAAAACTCTGAATTTCGTCCCGAAGTTGCAGAAGAACTTTAAAAACAAAAGTGCCACCGCACCGAAGAGGGCTGGAGGCTCTAAAGCGAAAGCTACGCAAAGCAAAGTAGACTCACTGTCGATTTCTCAGAAATCTGAGGAAGACTTTGGAAGTCCTGCACCCAAAAAGGTAGAGGATCAGTTGCCAGCCACCGAAAGCATCACAGTGGGCGATCAAGTGATTTGCCTCAATGTACAAGAGCACATAGAGAACCAGCATCAAAGTTCAGCTGAACAACATCACACAGAGTCACAAGAGCAACCAAAAAGTGAAATAATGCAAGGTACTTCAGATGATAGTGCCAGTGAAGTCGAAACTCCTAGTCAAAACGTCTTCACTCCATCGTTCAATTTCTATCCGCCATCCGTGATGAATAACAAAAAGTTCCTAGCAAGGCGGAACAGCAAACGATTCGTAATCGGGGATGGGGAGGATGAATTGCCTTCCCCAAATCCCCCGGATGTTACCATCACCGAAAGCCCCAATGTGGAGCAGAAGAGTTGGTCGAATCAGGCAAACGCTGATAAACTTTCAGTGCCCAGCAAGGGTTTAAAGTAAGTACTTTATTTTGAAATGGCCCAAGTTTATGGTCATTTCAAGAGATGTTCATGGAAAAGGTCCCATTCTTCTTCCATTTCTTATGTGTAAATAAATCGTCTGGTGTGGTGTCACCGTCCTTGTGCCTTAAAATTGGGTTTTTATATATTCATCAAATGCAGGTTTTCTTGACGCAACCACTTTCGAATCAAGATTCATTAAACGTTGCTAATTTTTCCGTCCGTCAAGGTGAAATGTAAAATTAATAATAGTCCAAACCAACATTTTTTTAACTGACTACGATTTTTCCGTTTATTGCTGCTAATAAACTGAACTTTTGCGGTGGAATAGTCGATTTTATCAGTTTATGGTTTGCATTCCGTGCAGTTCTCAAACACCGTAGATACGGATACAGATACAGGGTTTATAATGAATGTCGGGAAAGGATTTGCAAAAGTTTAATTTCCTCAGTTTTACGAACGTTTTTACATTTTGTATACAAATGCGTTTGAAGATTCATTTGTTGCCTTTTTTTCAAAAGCCCTAACCTACGTTGCGTACTAGGTGCGCTTATTAAGAAGCTATCAGAGCAAGCACACATAGTTTTTGTTGTACAATTGTTTCAAGCCAAAGCGTTTTCGCTTGTAAATTTAAAAAAATCGGTTTCCGCATTAATGTGTAAAAGTCGCTTCAACGGATTTGAATGAAACTATCACATGTTGTTGCCAATATTACGCATCTTAATCGGATTAATTACGTTTGATTTAGTATTTTCAAAGGCGTGCTTATGGGAAAACTATTCAGTTCATTTAAAAAACTGATGCAGTTGTGGAAAATTTATTCGACAAAGCAACTAAATAGACAACTTTTTGGCACAAAGAAAATTATTATGTAAATTTTGGTAACAAACTGTAAAAATTATCTGAAAAGTAAAAAAATATATGATTATTACAAATTTTCGCACTAAAACGCTTCATTTTCGGACACATGTTTATAAAGCAAAAAATGCCCGTCTTCATGTCTTCTGCAACTCCTAAAAGTTTGTCGATATCTTTGTGGAAAACCCTACATCCTCTTTAATATGTAGATTCGCGAGTTCAAACATCATTTTAATTTAACTGTTAGCTGTTAGTCTGTTTTTAAATGTTTTTTACAATTTTGAAAAATTCTGAATTTTGACTGTTTTGTGCCATGATGTTCGCTCTTGAATTACCTTAATGAAAACCTTTGAATTACTTAATAAGATACCCACAAAAAAGCTGGTTTCATTGAAATTTAAAATATTATGTAAGTAATTAAATTTTATTGAGCTTGAATATTAAAATATAGTTACGCTAATCAACAAAAAATATTGAATCAATTGCAATGTTTTTGTTTTTTCTTGTCTCAGAAATATACATAATGCATTAAAATTCGTGTAAAAAATGGAAATCGAGGAAAAGTATAGGCGTCTCATATTCCCAGTTTTTGATATCAACAGGAATGCATGCTCTCTGTTGTTGTGATCTGTTGATCAAAACTGTACTACAAAAATGTTCAAAACATTTTAAATACATTTAAAAATAATTATAAAGTATTTAATTGTTGTTTATTTCAGAACCCGAAAAAAGTCGAAAGTGATTCACATAATAACATGTTTGCAATATAATTCGAACACCCTGAATGTGGGGATTAAAAGAGTTTATTGCGTTTAAAGCAGTTTCATGGAAACGTGACAAAAAAATGGAATACACACTAAATTCGATTTATCAAAACGTTGGTCACAGTTTACAGTTTTTATCCTCAAATCTCAGAAACAAAATCAAATTCACGAGTATTGATTTGATCAAATGAGCCAGTAAGAGCGCAAAACATAACTTGTATTAGATTGTTTCTTATCATTGGCACTTACTCAAGCACAAATCCTATATTCAAATATCACAAGTAAAATTGCAAAACGATTTACAAGAAATGCACCTGTTCACGACTCAATCAAATTTAACTATTGTTGTTTTAAGATCAACATTTACCAGCTTGATCAGTTAATGATTTATTTTGTCATGAAAACCAGTCGAAGCATCTCCAAACTTGTTAACTAATTTAAAACTGTTGTTCTATAAATTTTCACATAAATCCGCCTTCAGAATCTTTAACAGGTTTTTTTGGCGGTCATAGGAATATGAAGATTTATTTATCATGGGCATTTATGGGATCTGCGCCATTTCAGTTATAAATTCACGGTTTAATGTGTTGGTTTTTTAATGTTGTCCTAGTGTTTTGTGCATAAATTCCTTGAAAATTATCTGAAAATAAATAATGTCCTAATGCGCCTCTTAAAACAACTAGTGTTACTGTTTCAGTGGAAATAAAAAACGTTTTTAAGGTCGCCCTTTTCAACTTCCAAATCCTTTTAAGTATTTAAGCTGAATAATAAAAGTTAAAAATTAGTTAAAGAAATGAAATAATATTTTTACTATTAAGACGATGTTTTCTGTTGCTTTAAATGGAAACTCTCAAATACCTTGAATTGATCGGTCAAATTTAAATTTTCAAAAAATCCGTATTCACGATTTAAATCATTTGAATGAAATTATTGGTCGTAGCAATTTTATATTAATATTCTGCTGACACCTAGGAATTTATTGTTTGTTATGAATGTTAATTATAACAATAGCAAGAAGGTACTCACTTCAAGTACTTCCATGTGCATTAAACAATTAAAATATATCAGTGAATCCTCGTTTCACACTCACCTGATGTTATCTCAATTCCTCAATGAACAAGCTAACATTACTGGAAACGCACCACATGTATTCGCCGGCTATTGACTGTTCTATTTTTACAAGTGTTTCACTTTTGAATTGATTTTATTAGTCATATTGAATGAGGTAAAGCGTTTAGAAAAGCCCGAACTTTTCTTAACAAAACGTGCGGGAACTTTGCAGGAAAATATGTGCGCTAAATGCAAAGGTTTTTAGTGAAATGTACTAGTGATGTATTGTCATGCAAAAATGGATGAAATGTGTCATAGAATTTACGATAAAAGGTTAGAGATATTCCAGAAACTTTACTAATTTTATTGCAAAAAAATGGCATAGTCTGTCCATGCCTATGCCTTTGCCATAATTACGTGATTTATTCAAAATTTCTGGATACTGGGTAACAGATGCATTTAGTCAACGTTTATTTTTGCAGCTAGCATGTGCTTTTTGTGTTTACAGAAACATTTTTAACGAAAATACCCAACTGTAAAATAAATCGAGATTAAAAGTCCTGTATCACATATATAAATCACTCTCAAATTGTACTCTTTCAGCCCCAAACGTATCTTCCTAGTAAGCCGATATATAGTTTAATAAGATAAAGTTAATATATTTTCAAAAATTATACACATTTTTCAACTCTTGTGTAAAACGAAAAGTGTGGAAGCACAAGTGCATTAGATGCTTGGGAAAAAATTAAAACGCGAATTAATGTTGCAAGATTTCGGAAAAGTCACCCTATAGTAGCCATACTAAACTTAATAATATATTCACCAGTAGATTTCCGATCAACACAACGGAGCTTTGAGTAAGAGAGAATTCATTTTCAGGCCTTCGATGTCCCAAGGTACTGTGATGCTCCACAACAACCGCTTCCAGGAAAAAGACTTTACAGTGGCCACTCCTGAAGAGTTTGTGAAGAGATTCAACGGCACTAAAGTTATCAACAAGGTAAATTAAAATTAATTTATTGCGATTAACGAGCAAGGAGAAAACAAGTGTTTTGTTTCCTCCCTTAGGTGCTGATAGCAAATAACGGAATAGCAGCAGTTAAATGTATGCGATCGGTCAGACGATGGTCCTACGAAATGTTCAAGAACGAGAGAGCTGTGAGATTCGTCGTAATGGTCACTCCAGAAGATCTGAAAGCCAATGCCGAGTACATAAAAATGGCTGATCACTATGTGCCCGTACCGGGTGGGACCAATAATAACAATTACGCCAATGTTGAACTGATTGTCGACATCGCAGTGAGATTACAAGTGCAGGTAAGCGCTCCAAAAATATAAAAATATTCAAGTCAAGCAGCTCGTTTAATTCGCAGGCTGTTTGGGCTGGCTGGGGACACGCCTCTGAAAACCCAAAACTTCCCGAATTGTTGCACAAAAATGGCATTACCTTTATCGGGCCCTCTGAGAAAGCGATGTGGGCTTTAGGAGACAAAATCGCTTCGTCTATTGTGGCGCAAACGGCTGATGTTCCCACATTGCCCTGGTCGGGAGGAGGTAATTATCAACCATTAAAAATTCGCTGTTTTCTTAATTTCGCGTTTTATAGGACTAAAAGCGCAGTACAGTGGCAAAAAGATCAAAATATCATCCGACCTGTTTGCGAAGGGTTGCGTCGCAAATGCAGAAGAAGGCATTTCAGCCGCACACAAAATTGGATTTCCTGTTATGATTAAGGCTTCGGAAGGTGGCGGTGGAAAAGGTATTAGGAAAGTTGAATATGCCGATGACTTTGCTGCGGCCTTCAGGCAGGTTTGTGCTGTAAACACGTTGTAAATGTATATTATTTAAATATCATTGTTCTGCTAAAGGTGCAAGCTGAAATCCCCGGTTCTCCAATATTCGTGATGAAGCTGGCCAGAGGGGCACGACATTTGGAAGTGCAACTGTTGGCCGACAATTATGGAAATGCCATTTCCCTGTTTGGCAGAGATTGCTCCATTCAGAGACGACATCAGAAGATTATTGAGGAAGCCCCGGCTTCTGTAGCAAGCCCTGAGATTTTCGAAGAAATGGAAAAGGTAACTAAGCGAATTTAAATACGGGAAGTAAATTTCTGATCTGATGAAAATTGAAACTCAGGCAGCAGTTAGATTAGCTAAAATGGTGGGCTACGTCTCCGCTGGTACGGTGGAGTATTTGTACGAAACAACTGGCAACTATTACTTCTTGGAATTGAATCCTCGCCTGCAAGTTGAGCATCCCTGCACAGAAATGGTGTCCGATGTGAATCTGCCAGCTGCACAGCTTCAAATCGCCATGGGATTGCCTCTTCATTACATTAAAGACGTCAGGTATTTGACGACGAATTTTAAATTTTGTTGAGATTACATCTGGTTTTTCTCAGGCTGCTTTATGGCGAATCCCCATGGGGAATCACCGAGATTGACTTTGATCTACCGCGGCACAAACCTCAAGCTTGGGGACATGTGATTGCAGCCAGAATTACTTCAGAAAATCCAGACGAAGGTGCGTACCAATCAACTAGCATCTTGTTTTGGACTCTATTTTTATGTCTTGCAGGCTTCAAGCCCAGTTCCGGCACAGTACAAGAACTAAACTTCCGTTCGTCTAAAAATGTCTGGGGTTATTTCTCAGTTGCGGCCTCTGGGGGTTTGCACGAATTTGCAGACTCTCAATTTGGTCACTGTTTCTCTTGGGGCGAGAACAGGGAACAAGCTAGAGAAAATTTGGTTATTGCTCTCAAAGAATTGTCAATCAGAGGGGACTTTAGGTATGTTCAAGCCCCAGATTTTTCCTCACCCGGTACTTAAAGAATTTCTCTGATTTTTTAGAACAACTGTAGAATACCTAATTACGCTGTTGGAAACCAAGGACTTTCAAGAAAACACAATCGACACTGCTTGGTTGGATATTTTGATTTCCGAAAAGGTTCAGGCCGACAAACCGAATGTTATGTTAGCAGGTATGGAATCGAACTATTTGCCCAAATGCTAGAAGTATTTATTAACGCTGTCTGTTATTTGCAGTGGTTTGCGGAGCACTGCATATCGCTGATAAAACCATTGAAACCGCATTCCAGGATTACATCAGTTCCCTGGAAAAGGGACAAATTCAAGCATCAAACACTCTTACAAACGTCGTTGACGTGGAATTGATTAATAATGGAAATAAATATAAAGTGCAAGCTTCGAAAAGCGGACCCAACACGTATTTTTTGCAGGTATTTTACTTAGTAAACGGGATCCTAAGTGAGGCTCAAACCTATGATTTTCGTTGCAGATGAATGGAGGTTTCAAGGAAATTGAAGTTCATCGGCTCAGCGACGGCGGAATCTTGCTCTCTATTGATGGCTCATCATTCACCACATACATGAAGGAGGAAGTTGATAGGTCAGCAAAATAATTCATTTCATAGATCTCTATATTTTTAATCAGTATTAATATTAAAAAATCCATTTAAAAGTATGACAATTCCGGTAGTATTACAGATACTTTGCAAAGTTTTTCAATTTCCAACACCCACCTATCAGAGAAGCAAACCGTTTTCAGTCCCATATTCATAAAAAAACGTTTTTCATGCTGTAAACAAAAAATCTGATGCCTAAAATTCAGACTGAACGTACATGCACTATTGATAAAGGACTGATAATATTGTTGTTTATATTCCAATTTTTAATGTTTAAAAAAATTATAGGAATTAGTGTGTACACACTGGATAAAAGGAATTAACAATTGTCTTTTAGAAATTACTCACTATTCTAAATATCACACTATTTTAGTTCTAAGTGAGTAATTTCTAAAAGAAATTATACATTTTTATACTTGATTTGTTTAATCATTTTATTTAATATTTGCGTACCTACAAATTGCATAACTTCTTGCAGATATCGCATAGTTATCGGCAACCAAACCTGCGTTTTTGAAAAAGAAAACGACCCGACCATATTAAGGTCTCCATCTGCAGGAAAACTAATTAGTTTTCTAATAGAGGATGGTGGGCATGTGGGAAAAGGTCAAGCTTACGCTGAAATCGAAGTTATGAAGATGGTGATGACTTTGACTTCGGGGGAAGCTGGAATTATCACCTATGTGAAACGTCCTGGAGCAGTGTTGGAAGGAGGCTCGATTTTGGTCACTTTGGAATTAGATGATCCGAATTTGGTTACCAAGACTGTTATTTATAAAGGTGAGACGCAAAAAAGCTTGATTGTGTTTAGCCTGGACACTTTTTCTCTGTTTGCTAGGGCCTTTTCCCGAAATGGAAACCTCCGCAACTTCTCCCGAAAAACTCAACCACATCCACAACAGTTACAAAGCAATGTTGGAAAATACTCTTGGAGGATACTGCCTGCCTGATCCATACAACGTTCCCAGGCTTAGAGAAGTACGCTTGCAAATATCGCTCTAACGCACCAAATGCATTTTGTATTTTTTCAATAGGTTATAGAAAAATTCATGTCCTCTCTACGTGACCCCAGCTTGCCGCTTTTGGAACTCCAAGAAGTGATGGCTTCAATTTCCGGCCGAATTCCCATAGCGGTCGAAAAGAAGATTCGCAGACTAATGACGCTTTATGAAAGAAACATCACATCCGTTCTAGCGCAATTCCCGAGCCAACAAATTGCTAGCGTCATTGATAGTCATGCAGCTATGTTGCATAAGAGGGCTGATAGAGATGGTTTCTTCTTGGCTACTGAAGGAATTGTCCAATTAGTCCAAAGGTAAGAATTTATTGCCGCTCTAGTGAGCTGCAATTTCATTTCAGTTTGATTCTAAGACATTTTTGCTCTTTCTCATAGATACCGCAACGGCATCAGAGGCCGCATGAAGGTAGCAGTGCAAGACTTATTAAAACAGTACTATGATGTGGAAAGTCAGTTCCAACAAGGCTCTTATGATAAATGTGTATCTCTGTTACGGGAAAAGCACAAGGACGATATGAAAGCCGTCTCAGAGACGATATTTTCCCATTCTCAAGTAGCCAAGAAGAACCTGTTAATCACAATGCTGATAGACCATCTTTGGGCCAATGAACCTGGATTGACGGAGGAGCTCGCCCCTACTTTAACGGAACTCACCTCCTTAAATAGGAGCGAACATTCGAGAGTGGCTTTAAGGGCGAGACAAGTTCTGATTGCCGCTCACCAACCTGCTTATGAGTTGAGGCATAATCAGATGGAGAGCATATTTTTGTCGGCAGTTGATATGTACGGTCATGAGTTTCACCCGGAAAATTTGCAAAAACTTATCGTTTCTGAAACGTCGATTTATGATATTTTACACGACTTTTTCTATCATTCTAATAAATCTGTATCCAGTGCCGCATTAGAGGTAAGTGGTTTCAACTGGAAAATTTGCCATTCTCTATCACAGTATGGGCATAATTGCAGGTTTACGTCCGAAGAGCATATACAAGCTATGACCTAGTAACTCTGCAGCATTTGGAACTAAGTGGAGAAATTCCTGTGGTGCATTTCCAATTCCTACTGCCTCCTAGTCACCCTAATAGATTGGCAAGACTAATCAACAGCGGCGTATCGGAATCAGGTACACAAGCAAAATCTTAAAACATATTTTCCATGATTTTACCGTCAATGTTTGCTATTTTAGGCGATACCATACTAGAGCGGTCTACGATTATTGATACATTCCAACGCACTGGTTGCATGGCAGCTTTCGACAACTTTCATCAGTTTGAGGAATATTCTGATGAAATTTTGGATTTCATAGAGGACTTTTCCAATCCGACCACAATAAGTGCCAAGGATTTGAATGCCGTGGAATCAGGTAAAGAATGTTCGAATTTATAGAGCAACTTTAACTTAAAGCGGTTTTGTTTCAGGATCTGAATCTAGAAAGAATTCAACATCGATAAACGTTAGTTTATCAGTGGATGGACCTCGAGTTACTCAAAATGATGAAAATGTCGTCTTGGAGCCTGTGCATATTTTACATGTTGGCATTAAAGACGACGGTAATATTAATGTTCACTTATTTTTAGAAATGAAATTTATGTAAAAATTGCGTAAATGTTTTCCAGGCGACAAGGACGACTCGACCATGAGTAAATTATTCCTATCGTTCTGCGTTAAGCACAAAGAAGAACTTGTGTCACGGAAAATCAGAAGGATTACATTCAGCCCTCTAAAGCATAAGCAGTTCCCAAAATTCTTCACTTTTAGGTAAGTTTTTTAATATTAATAAGTGTGACTATAAAAAGAAATCTTCTAATAAATAATGTATAAAAATACGTCTTATTGAATTAGAGCACGAGATGGTTTCACGGAAGATAAAATATATCGACATTTGGAACCAGCAGCAGCTTTCCAATTAGAATTAAGTAGAATGAGATCGTACAATTTGGAAGCCCTTCCAACGTCGAACCAAAAAATGCATTTATATTTGGGTATGTCTAATGTCTCAAAACAAAACTAGGTCTAATATCGTTATCAATTGTCTTTTTAGGAAAAGCCAAAGTTCCCCCAGGCAAAGAAGTAACAGACTACAGGTTCTTCATCAGAAGTATTATAAGACATTCCGATTTGATAACTAAAGAGGCATCTTTCGAGTATCTTCAAAATGAAGGTAATTAATTAATTTTCAGTTTTTAGTCAGCTATAAGCTTATGGTTGTAGGCGAACGAGTGCTTCTTGAAGCAATGGACGAGCTGGAAGTGGCCTTCTCTCATCCCCAGTCTAAAAGAACAGACTGCAATCATATTTTCCTCAACTTTATACCGACGGTTATAATGGATCCGGCTAAAATTGAAGAAGCCGTCACAAACACCGTGCTTCGATACGGACCGCGATTATGGAAACTGCGAGTTTTGCAGGCTGAAATTAAAGTGTTTATTAGGTAAGTTGGCAATGGAAGATTGGGTTAAAGGAGTAAGGAAAAATGTATGTTTTATCTAGGTCTTCGCCTAATGCGCCTACAACTCCAATTCGACTTTGTCTGGCTAACGACAGTGGCTACTATCTGGATATCAACATGTACACTGAAACTGTGGATCCAGAGTCAGGCGAAATTCAGTTCCAAGCATTTGGACAGAAACAGGGGCCCATGCATGGACTTCCCATTTCCACTCCTTATTTAGCAAAGGATTATCTTCAACAAAAAAGGTATTTAGAGCCAACTGAATTCCCATTTGATTGCTTTAATTATGAGTGTTGTTGACTTATTGTCGAGGTTTTTTTAATTTTATCAACTTTTTTATCTTTCAAGATTTCAAGCACAAAGCAATGGCACAACTTACGTATACGACTATCCAGAAATGTTTCGGCAAATGGTAGATTTGCAGTGGAAGCAGTACAGTCAGCAGTTTATATCGGAGACTGTAAATATTCCAGATAAATTTATGGATTTTGTCGAACTAGTGCTGGATATAGAGACTGAAACTAGATTAGTCGAACAAAAACGAGTGGCTGGTTAGTTTTTCTTGTAACTGTTCAGAAAAATGCCCGAAGGGCTTGGATTATTTATACATATAAGTTTCAAGTAAATAAAAATGTCTGTGTTCCAGGTGAGAATAACGTTGGTATGGTGGCTTGGAGATTAACTCTTTACACCCCGGAATACCCTGAAGGCAGAGATATTATTGTGATATCCAATGATATTACGTATAATATTGGATCTTTTGGACCGAGGGAAGATAAGGTATGCAGATTATTGCTTTTTTGAGAGAATTAACAAAGCTACTTGTTGTAAACATATATGTGGTTTCATTCACTCTATCATGGGTTATTGATTGCTTTTACCTCTAGGTATATGGCTTAGCATCTGAACTGGCGAGGAAGTTAAAAATTCCCCGAATATACGTTTCGGTAAACTCCGGTGCAAGAATCGGTTTAGCCGAAGAAGTCAAAGCACTATATAAAATCTCGTGGATCGACCCTAATGACCCGGAAAAAGGATTCAAATATTTATATTTGACGCCCGATGACTACGCTAATATTAACGCATTTAACTCTGTAAGTTATTAGCGCTTACTGTGTGGATTTCCGTTTTAAAAATTGTCTTGTCTACAGGTCAGAGCACAATTAATAGATGACGAAGGTGAATCGCGGTACCGCATTACTGATATCATAGGAAAAGAAGATGGTTTAGGGGTGGAAAACTTAAAGTATGCCGGAATGATTGCAGGTAATTAATCTAATTAAATAAATTATTAATTGCGATTATAATACGCGATCATTGCGATTAATGTGTAGCTAAAATCGTTTTTGTCTTATCCAGGTGAAACCTCGACAGCTTACGACGAAGTTGTTACAATCTCAATGGTCAGTTGCAGGGCAATTGGTATTGGCTCCTATCTTATTAGATTAGGTCAGAGAGTTATACAAATCGAAAACTCTTATATTGTATTAACTGGGTAAGTTTGAAGTTTAGATTACAACTTTCAGAAGTTTCGCTGATGATTAAATGCGATGCAATAATTACATTTTTGTTCTCAGGTACAATGCTTTAAATAAGGTATTGGGAAAAGAGGTATACGCTTCGAATAACCAACTAGGTGGTATTCAAATCATGTACAACAATGGAGTCTCACATAAAACCGAACAAAGCGATTTAGGTAATAGAGCTTCGCATCACTTTAATGTCACATTTAAAAATGTACTTATTTTTCAATATTTTCAGATGGTATCTACACTATATTAAAGTGGCTCTCATACATTCCTAAGGACAAGTTTTCCCCGGTTCCAATTATTAAAACTAGCGACCCGATCGACAGAGACATAGAGTTTGTACCTACCAAAACTCCTTACGATCCTAGGTGAGTTAATCACAAGTAAACCCGATAGAAAGTTGACTAAATTCGTTACAATCCTTAGATGGATGTTAGAAGGAAGGGAATCTCCCAATGAGCCTGGTTTGTGGGAATCGGGTTTCTTTGATCGCGGATCATGGAGTGAAATAATGCGCCCGTGGGCACAGACTGTAGTTACAGGGCGTGCCAAACTAGGCGGCATACCTGTAGGAGTTATAGCTGTGGAGACCCGAACCGTTGAACTCAATCTGCCAGCCGACCCTGCTAATTTGGATTCTGAAGCAAAAACAGTTTCACAGGCAGGCCAAGGTAATGTTTTCTTTAAGCGTATATTTCTAGTTCCCGTGTCAATCGTATTTTATTTTACTTTCTAGTTTGGTTTCCGGATTCCGCATATAAGACTGCTCAAGTGATTCAAGACTTTTCCAAAGAAGATCTGCCGCTTTTCATTTTTGCTAACTGGCGAGGATTTAGTGGAGGAATGAAAGGTATAGACTCGCATAATTTAAGCGGCATTGATTATTTATTTAATTAAAATTACAGACATGTATGAAGAAATTCTGAAGTTTGGAGCCTACATTGTCGATGGGTTGAGGCAGTACAAACAGCCTGTGATAGTGTATCTTCCTCCAAGCGCCGAGTTAAGAGGTGGAGCATGGGCTGTAGTTGATCCCACTATTAATTCTAGGTAAGTATCAAAAATACCCGATGCTGATCTTAGTAGAAACAGAGTTTAACACTTTCCCTTGCTTTTTTATTGAGTAAATGTTTTCCCTTTTGAAGTTCTTCACAAGATAGATAATCGTATTCAATTTTGCTTTTTTAGAATAGATTTTGAGAACTTAATATCAGTAAAATTGTACCACATCTCTCTAGCTGTGACACATCTTTTTCGTTGTTTAAGTGGCTTTTTTGTCGATTTTGCGTCTATTTTTTTTCCGATTCGAATAATTTGCTATTTTTTATAACTACGTGATTCTACATCAATTTTCCATGTAGAAGATCTTATTGCTAAACGACCGACGAATTTTCAGTTCCGAAATCCATCCGAAAATATTTAAATTTTCGGTTTTTCCTTTCAATAGTTTCCGATGTTGCGGCAGTAATTTACTATTTTTAATAACTACGTGATTTTAAATTAATTTTCCATGTAGAAGATCCCATTGCTAATCGACCGACGAATTTTCTTAAAATATTCATATTATTTTTTTGGTATCGTAATTTTTATCAAATTGTATCTAGTTACTGTTTACGCAAACAAATCATGTTATTTGGAACAATTTTCTAAATGGGATAAAACGATGTCGAATTCAGTATTCGCCCATAATACGAAGCTAATGAACTCTATTTCAGATATATGGAAATGTATTCCGATCCAACTGCAAGAGGTGGTGTTTTGGAGCCAGAAGGGATAGTCGAAGTGAAATATAAGAAGAGAGATTTGCTGAAAACAATGCATCGTTTGGACCCCGTATTGAAGGATCTTGATGAAAAATTAAAAGCCTTCCAGGCTACCCAACCTGTTCGAGAAAGGTGGCAAATGTTTACCTTGTGTAATTGGCCGTTAGATTCTATGCAATTGCATTTTTTTCAGATCATCTAGCATAACGCCAGTCCAACCAGTCCCCGAAAGGGAAAAACCCAAAGAATTACAGGAGTTAGAAACACAAATTAAGGATAGAGAAATCGTGCTCTGTCCCATGTATCATCAGGTTTCAATTCATTTTGCAGATTTGCACGATACTCCCGAGCGAATGCTTGAGAAAGGAGCGATATCCGTAAGATATACACATTAAAAGTTTGCGATTACACGAGACTACACACGAGTGATTTTTATAGGACATCATAGCATGGAAGGGAGCTAGGCATCATTTCTTTTGGAGGTTGCGCCGATTACTATTACAAGACAGCGTTATAAAAGCGCTTTTAGAAGCACAACCCGAAATTGGTGTGGGACAGGGCGAATCAATGCTAAGAAGGTGGTTTGTGGAAGATAATGGATCAACAGAGGTGTGTTCATTTATATAAAAACATGCGTTAGTTTGTTAACTTAAACTTACACACTTTTCCAGGGCTACAAATGGGACAAGAACGAAGTTGTAGTGCATTGGTTAGAAGATCAATTAAGCAAGCCGCAGCACAAGTCTATTATTAATCATAATATCCACGCAGTAAAAAAAGACGCTGGTCTAAATCAAATCAAGGAACTAATAGAGGTGGGTTAACAACATTATATAATGTCGTTAATTTTCCGTACTTTCCTATTTTTTATATTAATTAAACAACCCGATAAATTAAACTGAGAATAAAAATTTTGTTATTACATCAGGGTAGGATGTTTCTTACATAAATTCTAAGTGCTGTCTTTGCAGGAATGTCCGGACATGACTCTTGATGCCGTCGAAGTGATAATAGAAAAATTAAATGACAACCAAAAAGCTGAAGTAATCCGAAAGCTTTCACAACTTGGTTCGCTAGAGAATATCGACTAATGACCATCCCAACCAAAACATGACAAGGTAGAATTAGTTAATTTTTATTTTCCAAATACTGCTAAACATCTAAATGATTATTTATATAAGCGATCAGCAGTTCACGGCTGCAACAAGTCAAGATAAATTAGTCTCTCTACTAGCTGCATTGAAATCAACACCCACCAGTTCGATGGAATATTGATTTTCACGTGAAAAATAACAGACTGAAATATCAAAGTTTAATAGCAGGTTTAGTGTTTGCAATTGCAATCGCAATGCAAATAACTCTCATTAACGTCCTTATGATGTAACATGAGAAGTGATATATTTTTGTATCCACAGTCCACTCAAAAATGTTTGTACATTTTCTTTATGGAATCTTTGATTAGAAATGTGAGAATCTCCAAGCGTAATAAAGTGAATTTTCGGTGGTTGTGGACCATATTGCATTTTTATAAAATAACATTTTACAAATGTTTATTTTATAATTATAATTAGGTTTTGTAAAAAAGAAATGTTTCCTTTATGGGTTTAGATCAAGTTTCGTCTAGTATTTATTGAAAAAATCTTCCCTTCTAAAAGGCTGTTACACAGTACACGTTGTTATCTTTTATTGTTAGATACTGATTATTTTCAATAAAAAAAACTGATTACAAACTGGCTTTTACATTTTGATAAAGAAATATTACCAAGTCTCAACAATCATTGTATTCAAACATTTTGTATACCTATAAATTATAAAAATATGTTTATGAGATTAGAAATGTTGGCACCTGGGACGTTCACAAAATATTGTGAACACCAGTTATAATTGTCCATGCAATTGATGCAAATTGATCGAAATTATACAATAAACAGGCTGCATTCTTCATTACTTAATACTTACCCAATTACTTATTCTAAAGTCCGACGAAATAGATTTATCTAAGATACCTCTATTACACATAAACTGGAGACCGAAATCTTTGAAAAAAATCTATCCTTGCATCCAATTGTGTTTTCAATTAAAAGACTTACTTGTATTAGCATTAATGATGATGACCCATCGATAAAAACAAAGGACACACGCAACCCACAACCAAAAATATCAACTCCTGCATGCCAAGAGCTGAGGAATGTGTCTGAATCTTGCCAGATTCCAGATTCTGGGGAACTTTAGAGTATTGGCTTTGATGACTGGGTTGAGTCAGATCAGCCAGTACGTGAACTGTGGCCACGTACAGGAATGTACCAGCGGAAAACAACATTGCAATACCTAAAAATGTCGATTATTGCCCGTATAATTCACTGACTTTCAGCAATACCTGTAGCATTGAAGGAGCTGAGTGTTTCTTTCTGTTCCTGACCGATTCCGAAATATGTCAGGAGCGTCAGCACGGGGGCCGACAATGAGAATATCAACAAGTGCTTTCTGATTCTCTTCCTTAAAATTAAAAAAAATACGGGGTCATTTTTAGATTTGTTATTTCTAAACATGATGTCTGTTGTTTAATTCTCGACGGAGTGGTGGAGAAATGAGCGCGTGAGTTCAATTGGTTCCTGGGATATGAGCAAAAATGTAGCGCATGATTGAAGCGATAGTCGATAGCAAATCTTGTACCTAAAAAGGTAATTTTGAAGTTTTGGTTTTTCTTTGCAAAACTATCGCTGTCGCTTGAATGGTATGACCAAAAAGAGATCGTCTGGCCAAAGCCGCGCAACACGTAAAATGGATTAATATTTCGTTTTTAGTCTTCAAACTGCCTTTCAGTAAGAACAGTAATGTTTTACTTGATACATGAGCTTTTAATGGTCTATCCACTGGTAGGAAAACGAGCGCGGTCGGTCAAAAAGTTCTCGAGAATAGGCAAAGTTTAATATCATTGTTGTATCATCAAATTTTTAAATAATTTCCCATTTTAACAAACTGTATTTTCCAGGTAGGAAAAGTGGTGCACAAAAATAACGCTTATTTTTTGCGCACTACTGCTACACTCTATAGGTGAAAAATAAATCAATATGAGATGAAGACGTTTACCTTTCTATGCCTTCATGAAGTAAAAATGTAACCAGACCAAACGCTGCAGGAGCTTTGTGCAACATTATTGCAAGAAATACAATGATTTCCACATCAGCATGACTAGTCGTGGCTGCAGCACCTAAGAATAAAAAAATCAAAATTTTGAATAAATGGAAATTAACTGAACCAAAAGTCCAATTAATTAATCAAAATATTTGGAGTAATTGGGTTTAAGACAAATCAAAGCCATTACAAGTGGCAATAGATGCGAGATCAGCAAAACGACTTGTTTCGGATTAATTCTCTCCGAACTCGAAACTAGAATCCATTCTTGCAACATTACGTAATGAAAAACAACGTTTCATGTTGTAAGCATTTCGATGCAATGTTGATCCAACTGAAAATGAATCAACGAAGTGCGCTAGGCTGAAATCGGTCAAAACTGTTGATCCTCGCACCGGAAAACCGACATAACAATGGAATTACATTATGGCATTTTTACGGTTAATAAACAGAATTTATACTGCTATTGAGCAAATCTATTGCGGTTACTTAATACTCAAATATTTCCTAGGTTTTCTTACATTTTAACCCATGGGTCATTGAAATATTACTTACTAATTATAGGTACTTTTGTATCGCCTATATCGGTGTTTTAACGGAACAATACAAAACCATGACTCAAATTGTTACATATCTAATGATAGTAAAATTAAACCCCACTGGTTAGTAACTTTGCATTGTTACTTGTTAAGCCTTCACTCACCTAAAGCAACTCCATCTGCAGCAGCATGCACAACCAAACCAACAGTTGCAGTTATATTTCGCTCCGAAGGATTAAGATTTTCATTTCTTTTTTGAGAAACCTTAAAAACCAATCGTAAATTTAATAAATATAGAATGTGAGTGAAAGTGTTCGCACTTACTTGGTCAACTACTAACATGAAAATAAATCCACTAACTAAACTAATTCCTATCACAGACAAAGGATCACTAGACTCTTGACTAACTGTTGAGTCCACTGGCTGCTGAGCTGAGTTATGAGTGTGATTTTCTGATACCATAGACCTGATACCTGAACATTGAAAATCATTGAATTCTAGTTATGTGAAACGTATTGGCACATACCTTCAGGGATGATTACGGCTAAAGCGGTTCCCACTAACAGTCCGGCGCCGAATACACTAATTTTCTTCAGTTTATCCTAAAATTGCAAACATCAGTAGGTTTGCCTGTTAAAACTTATACTAAAGATTCTAAGAAATCACCTCAGATAGATTGTAAATAATCGGAACATATCCAGAAAACAGGGCCCCTAAAAACATAGCAAGGGCCCAAACAATTATACGGGGTAGGAACAAAAGGTCAAACATATTGTAGGTCACATAAACCACATATGCACTGATTACGATCACGGTTGACTAACTATTCTTCATGTTGTTCAATTACCAAATATATAAACAACGAGTGCGTTTGTTTTATACGAACTCGGCACTTTTCAACAGTAAACTAAGTTGATAAATGCCCATAATTAAATGCTGATTAAGGCAGGTATATTCAAGTTTCGGGTTTGTTGCGATACTTTTACTTTTGAATAGGAAATTTCTCTGATTTTAAATTTCAAGTCCATGTTTAACAGCCATCAGTTCGGTAACACAGTTTGCCAAGAAACCTTAAGACCAATAAATAAAACAGTTAATATTAAGGAAAGAAAATTTTACGTATGATAAAGAAAGTACAGTAAAACCCCTTTAATCAATAATAAATAATATGCAATGCAAAATTAGCAGTTAATCATAACTTGCCATCAGGGCACAATAAAGCAAATTGGAATTACTGGAAATTAAATAAAAAAACTAAGACAAATAAGAAATATAAAACATTTTTCCTAATGTTTGATTTATAGATTTGAGATCAAGACAATTGCTTTAGAAAACGGTGAAGACGCTGCATTTTCCAGTAGAAAGCGTATGCGTGCGTGAAGAACATTCTTCTGCGCTCTTAAAATATCTAAACTTTGATAATTTGAATAAAATACACCTGAGCAGTTGTTAAAACGTTGAAGCAAAAAAGGAAAAGCCAATTTCTTCCTCTAAATGCCGAATAAGGAAGTAGGATGGTAACTGTTACCGTTTATCAGAAATTAATTTACCCATCGTATGGGGATACTTTTCCAAAAAAAAACCGTCCACTCTGTGGTATCAAATGATTGCAAATTTAATGTAGAATTCAAAAATAAAAAGTGTTAGCTTATAGAGAGCAAAATTAAGAACACTGTATATAAAAGACTTCAGATAATTTAAAAGGAATATTGAATCTAAAATTTGAAAAGAAAATTTGAGCTTCCCTAATTGATTATTTTTCAATTTTTAATTGTAATATACAGGGCGTTTAATAAACATACGCCAGAAATTTAGGGATTTAGTGATTGGACTGATTCTAAGCAGAAATAAACAATAACAAAAGTGTACTACCACTACCATCGCTTATTAATTTATTGGTACCATAAATAAAACATCTTAATCTACAAAATCCGTTCAAAATGACCGTAAGGAAGCAAAATTCCAAACTTCTTATACCTATGTACAGTTGACACGTGAATAACATGCCCAACTTACCTCAGATAAGCTAAAAAACAGTGGAATAGAACCGCACAAATAGGAACCAATAAGCATTACAAGGGCCAACAGTATTAAAATGGGAACCTCCTCCATGTTTGCACTTAATTCTTAAATAAATCTGTATCGAGCAAGTCACATTATCGTTCACGGTAAGCTAGTAATTTAATTTGCGACTTATGTTTATATAGTTTAATGTTATTAACAAATTCAATTCCACGTAAACAACTTTCTTTATTATGTTTAAGATTAAAATTGACAATTTCATGCGGGTTTAACCTCACAATCTGACGGCATTCGTCTGAAAAAGCATCTTAAGAGCGATCATTCGTTTTCTCTTTTGCACACACTGAATTTTATTCGAGAAGGTTCAGTATGTTGCCGATTAATCAATGACAATATCTTTTTTTAAAGCTGGCTACTAGAAAACCGAAATTAAATATAATTCATTTATAAAAAATGAAGAACTGGAACACACGAAAATGTTTACTGACTGTATTTAAGCCTATTTCAGTACTAAACAATTTTCAACATTAATTTATTTTTAAGAATAGAACACTATTCTTGAAGTATTTGTTTTTTGAGGCTCTCTTGGCAACGTTTAATCACTCGCTTAAATTTGATTGCCTCTTGTCACTTTGACACTTTTTTAGAAAATCAAAACAAAACATTAGCAGAGTTTTGAGAATTGTAAAGGTTTTTTCGAAAAATGGACTATAAATCATACATTTTCATGTAGCGAAGATGAATTTGCAAACGCTTTTCCAAGACTTCAATCCTAGGTATGTTGGTGCACTTTTACCCCCATTTGCCTGCAACTCTGACATTGTATTTTCTTTATTAATTCCACGGGTTATTAAGCAGTTTACATTATCTGCGTTTTTCTGCCAGTGCCAGTCTTCATTTATATAATGGGCCCCATTGTTAAGACTCCTTTAATTCTATTGCAGCAAATTCATAGTACACTCATGTCTATTGACTTTTACCATTTTTTTCGCCTTACGATTGGATAATTCTACAAATTGGTCCTACTGGACAGTGTTCTCGCCAATATGGGTTTGGAAAGCATTGGTAATTTCCGGTGCAACAGTTGGGAGTTATGTTTGGTGGAGATATCCACATTTCAGGTACGTTTCCCAATAATTAGCTTGAATTGTTCAATACCATCAAATTTGCAGGCTGGAAGGCGAAGCCTACATTCACTATAAATCAATGTTAATTTCACTGGCATTGCACCTTATTTTGCTCATGTTTGAGTTGCTGGTTTGTGATAAATTAGAGTCTTCCAGGCACTTGTGGATCCTGGTATTTATACCTCTCATTTTCATCAGCATCGTGAGCATAGCAGTTTGCATATGGGCCGTTAAGCATGAAAGAAGCTTCGAGGTAATAGCGAAAAATAAGAATTTGGCATATAAAAGCAACTAAATTCATTTGCAGCTGGAACTTTTCTGCGCTGTTAATGTTCTGCAATTTATATTCCTAGCTTTAAGACTAGATGGTTTCATCGCATGGTCATGGGAGGTAGTTTTTGTGCCATTATGGATAGTCATGTGCCTATCACTTGTAAGTCCAATGCCTTCAAACCAAACTCCTCTAGTTAAAATCACTCTTTAATTCCAGGTCGGTGTTTTGTATACTATAATATTCGCAGCAATATTGCTAAGAACGCCAGAGGTAAACGCCCAACAAAGAAGGAGCAGCTTCCAATCGGCCTTAGGTTATACATTTTTAGTAATTCCTGTTTTAATATTTCAAGTAAGTAAAATACATTTCCAAAGCAGCCGAATCTAAAATCCGTAATATTTCAGGTATTACTAGCTAATAAATTAGATGAAGACATTAGAATGTCTTTCATAGCGGTAGTTAGTCCACTTTTCGTATCATTTGTAACGTTAATTTTGATGTCCTTCAGTGCCAAAGGAGCAAATAAATGTAGGTATTAATAAAACTTAATCCAAATATGTTTTATATTGTTACATTTCAGGGTGGTTTGGATTAAGAAAAGACTTCTGCTCGTTCCTACTGGGGGCCTGTCCCTTACTGCAGGAGTACGGCAATATAGCGTATCAACCAGACAGAAGAACAAATGGGGTCGAACTGGAACAGCAAATGGACAAATACGATGCACATATAAAAAAAGCTGATCTCATGAAACCAGTTCTACCGATCATTAGCATTGAGATGCCTGACTGAATTGGGGGTTTAGAGACGGTAAGAAAAAAACCGATTGTTCAACTGTATGGTTTAAGACGAACGACGAAGGATTGGAGCTTAGAATTATGATCATTTGGAGTATGTTTAACGATACGGCATCTACTGCAAAACACAGAAATTGCAGTAATTCATATGCAAAGAGAGGCTTTGTACCTTTCGTTATTTACTCAAACAGCTTTGCCATTAAAAACAACTAAAATCCGATTGCCCTTTAAAACTAGTTTCAATACTTTCACTTGACAACAGTTGACAAACAGATAATATTTTAAGGCTCGTTGGTGATAAAATTAAGTATTGAACCCAAACGGTTGTACGTATGCGAAGGAAACATTCCGGTGTTAATATATTATGTAACATTTCGACTATCTGTTTTATAATCCAAAAGATTTGATGCCTTTGGCAATTTATCAAGTGCCAATTTCTAATAAGTTAAACAGTTATGTAGTTAAAAGTGTAGTTTTAAGTGATTATCTGAATAAAATATTTTGTATATTAATTTATTTCAGTTAATACTGGTTAAACCATTCACAAAATTAACAGAGCGTTTTTTTTTAATCTTTACTTAATTCCCCAAACTGCGTGATTTTGTTATTAAACGTTTTTTGGGATTACTTTACTGAATTAAATCGTGTAGCACAAGTAACTGGAGGAAGTTAGGTTTTAGGACTGTTGAAGCTTAAATAATACAACGATATTTATTTAATAAGCCGAATAAAACAAGTCGATAACAACAAAGCAATTTTATTGCTATAGATTTTACATAATACTTATTTTAAAGTGACGGGGAAACCCTAGACAAAATAAATAAATATACGTAAATAGGTACAGTTAAATCTTAAATAAAATTAACAATATCTTTCAATAATTTATAACTCTGTGTGTTTTTAAACTCGGTTTCATCCGGCAGATATTTTATGTAACTAGGCAAAGTATTTTGACTAAAAAGATTAGCACATCGGAAAACAAGAACCATAATCAATAAATAATGAGAGCTATGTTTACTACATTACTTACATTAATATGATATCAAGTATCTAATTTAGAAACATTACCTCGAATTCATATTTACTGAATTGACTAATTCACGCGATTAAGAGGAGTCGTTGAAAAGTTTTCTCTATAGTAAAAGTTAATCCGAAGTACGTTTTCCAATATACAACAAATTGTGTAATATTAATATTGTCATTACATTTTATTTTAAATCGCTATTATTTGAGATACCAACTGTACAAAATTAATTACTGGGAATAATGCTTTTTGGATGTACATGAACATGCATCTGTCTACTTCAACTGGTCTGTCTGATATCGCATAGCATGAAAAAGGCCAGAAAAAAATCAATAATACTTTCATTGAAATCATTCAAGTATATCTAATTAATAATACGGCATTAATTATTAAAGCAATATTAGACCAATTTCTAGTTAACTTTCTCCTACAACAGTTAACTGACAGTCTATCACAAAACTTATTTTAAATTGATGACAATTACCTACTGAATAAAACGGGAGTACTCACTCTGATAAATTATTGTTTCATGTAGGGATAGTCGATTTGCGTTAAGGGAACGAACGTTTCCTTAATAGCTTGAGGATTGCCCCATCTAAGAGCATAATACGGGCCTCCAGCTTTGTCATTTGTTCCTAAAACAAACCAATTTATTAATGTAGTCAGTTCTTTTTATTGATTATTTTATACATTTAATTTATTTTATTCGAAATCATTTTGAGAGACTTTTATTTGTTGTGCTGACTTACAGGAGCAATCTTGAGGAAAGCACCAAGAATTAAAACGGAATTTTTGCCTCTTAAAATATTGCCGCTTTTGCTACTCTTTCTAACAATTTTTTTTCCGGCTTCACTTTGTATGTTATTTAGAAGTAAGCCAAAAAATTAACTAAACATTCCAGTGCAAGACCCCTTACAAGGAAAAAATACAAAAGCCTTTGAGTGCGTTTTGATATCAGGTTTGCTTAATAGATTTGTATTTTGTTTTACCTGATAATCTTGCTCCTCCGAAAGGCTGCTGGCCAACAACGCTGCCAGTAGATTTATCATTGATATAGAAATTTCCAGCGGTCATCTTCAGATCTTCTATAGCACTTTTAAGGAATGCTCTAAACATAGATAAAAAAGTTACCTCCTTTGTTCTTAGTTGCATAGTTGAAAACTTGGTCAATTCGTATGCGAAGTAACACTGATAGTATTTATTTAATACTTACTCATCTTGAGCAAAAACTGCACCAGTTAACGCAAATTGCGTCGAGCTTCCAACCAAATTCAACGTTTCCTGTACTTTATTATCCGGGTAAACATAAATACTCAAAACGGGGCCGAAGATTTCTTCAGTCATGATTTTATCTTTAGGATCTTTGGCTTGAACAATCGTTGGTTCGATGAAATATCCGGTGCTGATTAATGCAAGAAGGGAAATATTTAATAGAATAATTAATGACATGACTTTCGCGATATTTGCTTGAAACTAGTAAGTTTCTAAGGCGTAGGTCGTGGAAAATAATTTCTTCCTGGCGTTTTGCAATCTTCAGAGACGGTTTGCTCTGCGCAGCAACCGCATCTAAAGATGCGAGCCACTCGTTCTTGCAAAACATCAGGAAGAAAATATTTTCACGGCCTAAAAAGCCCGAAAAACTTTCACTTTGCTCCAATTATGATTTACCTGTCGTCGCATTTGCCTCCTCCAATAATTTCCAAGTTGCTAGACTTCTTGGCATGCTCTATATAGCCAGAAATTCGTTTAAATGCTTTGTCGTCTATCACAGCGGAGGTGAAACTGTTGTAGTCAGTTGGGTCGCCAATTTTCAGTTCAGCGCGCTTGGCCAATAGTGGGCCCTTGATCTAAAATTAAAAAATGGTATTTTTTTCGGAATATGGTATTCAGCAATACAAGCGAATAAGCCAAATAAAATTTACCTTCGACCACAAAGATTCAGGAACATACATCCTGCTGCAAGCGCTGCATTTTTGGCCACAGAACTCGAAAGCACTTCTAATAGTGCCATTCACGACTGATTCCACATTGGCGCTGGGATGAACAAAATGGTAATTCTTGCCTCCGCATTCACCGATCAGTCTCGGGAAGTTTTTGTAATTGGCAATGTTTTGGCCCACTTGTTTCCACAGTCGAGAGAAAGTTCTAAAAAACATGGCATTGTAAACAGATCCATTTGCCCCGCAAGAAATCCTTCTACTTACGGCACACTTCCTGTAAAGTTAATTCCAGCTAAATTAGGTGATGCAGTGATAGTATCGCCAAATACCGGGCCATCTGAAGGAACGAAATTAACGACACCTGGAGGAACACCAGCCTCCAAGCAGATGTTGAAATTCACCCAGTTGGACAGAAGAGCAGTGTCGCTCGGTTTCCACAAAACGGCGTTTCCCTACAATAAATCTAGATGAATTGTATATTAATTGAAAGCAAACAATGATCAAAACCTGTGAAATGTTATCTAGCGATAAAAACTGGATATACTCACCATTAATGCTGGCGTGTAAGCCAGGTTTCCTCCAATGGCAGTGAAATTAAAGGGCGAAACCGCTGCAATAAAACCGTCAATGCCTCGGTATCTCATCGAGTTTTTCGTTTCTTTGGGATTTTCGGAAATTGGTTGATATTTAAGAGCTTCTTTCAGGAAAAACGCATTTAATCTACGAATTTTTTCGATATTAAAAATTATTTTGTTTTCATGGTTTTGCTTCTACCTAAAGAAATCGATTAGTTCAGCAGCAGAGTCAATTTCAGCTTGGATGACAGTCTTTGCCTGTCCTAACATTGTAGCAGCATTCAGTTTGGCTCTGTATTTTCCAGCCATTAAATCAGCCGCCTTTTCCCAGATCTTAAACCTTTCAAGCACGTCAATTATGTTAAATCATCTAGAGTTTGGGTAGAAAAATACCTTTCAGAAATTGGAGTTTTGTCCCATTTCTTTTGTGTTTCGGTGGCCACCTCAATGGCTTTATTAATCAATTTCGCATCGGCATAGTAGAATTTCGCAATTTTTTTCTTGTGATTGTGCGGCATTACCTGCGCCAATTATATACCGTTATTAGACCCATCAGGAACTTTTTGCGTCATTTTACCTGATAGCGGACGTCATCTGTTTTGAACTCTTTGTCTCCAATAACAATTGGAACATCTTCGGTTTTATTGGCAACTTCACTGAGCGCTTTTTCTATAGCCGCTCGCTCGGGAGACCCTTTTAGATATTCCAAAACAGGCTCATTTTTCACGCCAAAATCGTTGACTCGGACTTCAGGCACGACAGAGCCTAAGCATCTTATCGCCGTTCTAAAATGTTAGTTGGTGGAGATGTTTTGCAAAGACACTTTTAAATGAGAAACAAGTCAATATTTCTGCGTATAAAAAATGAAAGTTTACATTTTTTAGCAATATTTTTCAATTTTTATCGGGGCTAAGATTAGTAAAGCTCATATAGAAACAATAGTGTTTGCAGCATATTTTTTGAAGCGTTTGGAACCCACATTTCATAATATTACTCATCGAAGTTTCGCCAAATAGTCTGAAATGTGTGTTTTTATCAAAGTCACATTCATTTGCCAGATCAAATTTTACTTCTATGGTGTAAAAATGTAAAAGTTTTTGCTTGCACAGAGTGTACCAAAATGCAGGGGCTTCTTGGAAACTGGAAGTCGGTTAAAAACAGGCAAATAGCAATTAATTCAAAAAGTTCTGGTGATTCCGACGATATTGAGTATCTATGAAATTCAGTTTAATTTTGTTGCTGTTGAAAAAATCAAATTTTATTTAAATCTCATGATTTCATTTCATGTTTTTTCAACAAACGATCGCATAATTTCAATGTTTTTCTATTGATAGATTTGTTATCACTCGATTTTTATTTGCCTTGAAACAGTAGTAGAATGAGAAGTAAAGTGTGAATTAAAAATATTGTTAAAAAATACATTTTTCCTTTTAGAATGATGGACACACAAAAATCATCATTTATCGGCTTACTTATGAACATTTTTTTAAATCCATAAATAATTTTTTTCGTCTTAATTTTCAATTCCTATAAACTTCTTTGCCTTCTGCATTTTGATCTCCATTTCAAATCAAAGTCTTTCACTCCCATTTTACAGACTTTTTTCCAGAAATGTTTTTATGAGGCATTATCAATTTTGCAACATTTTTAAGTAAAATAAAAAAAACAACTTATTTACTTCAACCGCAAAAAAATCTCGGATCCAGATTTTCGACTTTAATAATTGTGTAAAGTAAATTAACAATAGAAAAGATGCCTTAACTGTACCTTACCTACTTGGACAAACGTTTCAATATTCTTTCTATGTAAAAATGTTTGCTTTATGTTTTTCATTTGTTGATCTTTCTGTTGTAGATAAAATTCAGTTTGCTCTCAAAACATGTTTGAAATTATCTTATTTATTCTTTTATGAATTAGCTTGTAAATATGGCGTTCCTTCACTTCACATACACGCCAATTGAAAAAAAATATTACCTTATTGGAAAAGTAAGCAGATTTTCTTTAATGAAAGGATAGCATTTTGTAGAATAAAAACAATTTAATTAATTTTATTTAATTTAATCTAATTATTTAATGCAATAATAATAATAGGTCACGGCAAAAATTAAATTTCTTTACACATATGAAGCATAAACAATTTTATTTCTTGCTTTCTCTAACATTTCTATCTCTCGTTGATAAATGTGATCTAAAAAAGGTGTTTTTGAAAGAAAAATATTAATAATTAAGATACACGAGAGGAACTTTTTGCTCGCTACATAATGTTCTAAAATAAAATTTAAATTCTTTATCTGTCCGATTCTCTAAATCATAACCCTTGGGGGAATAATTACTGTAATTCAATAAATTACACTCTATGCAATATTTATGTAGAAACGACACTACTTTGCTTGCTTATTTCATTATTAAAAATTCATATAATAAACATGTGTCTGCAAACGCTTTGGGTCCGATCTGGGTGTTGAAGTTGCAAATTGTTTAGTTTTTTTTTACTTCTGAAGTTTTTACGACTTTTAGCTTAATTTTGCAACATAAATATAGATTGTTAATGGATTTTCAAAATGTTTATGAGAATCTACATTTGATGTACTCATTTCCTGCCTAATTTTTGATTCCAGTGCGTTGCTGGTAGATTAAGAAATACACAATTAAAATAATTTTTTATTCGAAACGTTTTGATCTCTGATTTTATCGAATCTGAGACGAATATGGAGAAAAAACTAAACCTCTTTTTTAACTCGGCAAATGATAAATTGTTTAATTATTTATCGCATTATGGATTATCTCTTGGGTTTCGAGATTTCAGTTAGTCAAATTTATCTGCCTAATAACACATAATTTCTGTCAATATTACCAATCCAGTTTTTTCTAAACTAAGAGTCAAGTGTCTAAAATCACACTAAAATGGGATTATTTATCACTTTCCTTGGCATATTTTTTCAATTAGAACTCAAAACAGTTCACTACAATATGTTAACATTTATATTAGAAATCGTCTAAAAATGTTTGGACCATATACATATTTAATTTAACATGAATTTGAAACTTTCAAGCTGGAACTCTGAACTCAATAGTTAACAAAAACATTTTTTTTCTCATTTTAAATGATCACTAACGCAGGCATTCTAATACCAATTGAAAACATTTTGAATTCAGCTGCATGCTAAACAAGCGTAAGTTTTTTGCAATTGCGCTGGCAAAACGCAACAATGTAGCTTAATTATTTGGTCCAGCTGTGCCACTTGCAGTTCCCTAGATATAGTGCTATAAATAAATTGTATGCACTTCACAGTGGTTTTAAAAATAAATTGTCCTTGAATGAGTAAAAAATCCACTGGCAATAACAGCTTCAACCCACATAAACTGTTACTTGTTCTCCGTTATTAATTGATTTTTTCAATAGCAGATGCTGAATAAAATAGTATTGGATTTAAAATCAATCAAACGCCTTGAATGTGTGAGGCTGATTTTATTTTTTATCTAGACTGCTTAATAAATTCTAAATGTTTTGGTGATTACTGAAAAATACCTGTTATCTAATGATGTGTTTTTGATGGCAACAAATCGCTACATATAGTAGGTGTATAAAAATAAAATGCGATATAAAATTGAACAATTTTTAATCTGTTAATACAAGCAAGGAAAAATCTTGATCACCATCATCACCACTCCCTGTAGAATTTATATTATAATAGCTCAAGCCAATAAAATGGAAACCTTGAGCCATCAAAACATTGGTGTTTGCGGTTGAACTCCTGAGCATGAATTATAGACAATATGTAATGCATTTCAATAACTAACGCAAGTCGCATATTTAAGGCGCTCAAAGACACCTTACAGGCCTCCAGTAAAGTAAAAGTGATTTGTTTTAGACTAGGGGAATTTTCCATTATTACTGTTAATTGAAGCCTATCCCTAATTTTGGTGAATTAGCAAATATTGCTATGGGATAAAACTGGGGTTTTAAATTAATTTGCAGGCAGGAAAGTCATGAGTTACAAGACATGAAGTAGGATAAGGTCTGAAATAGCTCCTTATTGATTTTTCGCACTGATGGAAATTTCCACTGTTCTCAATAACAGGTCAAAGACGGGAAGAGTGGTGAAAGACTCTACCACTCCTGTGGCTTGACTACATTCATCTAATGCACTCAATAGGAGTTTCGGTGCATTATCAAAGGTCAAAGGGGCTGTTTCCGATAATAAATGTATTTATTTGGTGCAGATAAAGCGTTTAAAGTATGTCAATCAGTACTGACCTTTGCAGAGATTGGGAGAAGCTCTGTTTACACAGCGATAACATATTCACATAAAAACCTCTTCAGCTTTTGATAAAATCTCAACGTTTTGGAACCTACCGATTACGAAATTGAATAGTGATTATTTTTTATCGTTCATTTGACATTTGCACCTTGCACTTTGCTTTGCACATTACAGTGACGTAACTGGATGCGTATCCTCTGTTTAGCGAACAATCTTCAACAATATAGAAATGTGCCGTTAATATTGAGTATTTGCAATTTTGAAAAAAATTCTCATGACATTTTCCACCTGCAGCTTCAAAAGTACTCAAGTAATTTCACACAGTAACCTGGGATTAATTTAAATCTGTGTACTTTTAAGCCTAGTGCCTTGTTGCCGCATATGCTCGTTTTATAGAGCATATGCTTGATCGCCTTTGAAAGCAGCTGTTTAATGTCAGTGCTATTGTTTACCTTTAACTTTAATGTTTATAAATTCGATTGTTGCTTTAGATAAGCTATTATCAAAAATACAGTAGATTCGTGGTACTCGGAGGCAATGTATTGTTCAACAACAATCAATTTTATTAAGTGCAGGTAGGGCCATTTAGCTGCATTAAGGGCAGGCTTGAATATGAACTTGAAAGGAACTTCCACCGGGAGGAAATGTTAATGTAATAATAACTTTAAAATGAATGTTATTAAACAAGAGCCAAGTAGCCTGGAAGAGTTGTGGATTCAAAATAATCTGGGGGTCTCTCTCTCCCATTGTGATCAAAATATTCTAGTCTCCCAAGAGCATGGAAACTTTGATTTTAAAAATGAATCCCAAGCTCAGATTGCGGAATGCAATGGATTTGTTGAACATACCGAATGTAAAATCGAAGTCCTGGAGCACTCTTTATTAAGTAATTTTCAGGGGTAAGTAGTTTGCAGACTGAACTGGAGTTATGACATCGTTATTGATTATTGATACTTTATTCAGCATGCTTAAATGGAAGTTTTGATCCCCAGACCACCTATTTATGAATTGTTTGTTGTTAATCACTATTAAATTGAAGTATTATATTGTCTTTATAAGCACACCCATTTGAAAGTAGGAATAAGTTTCATTTTAATGGTCAGGATCTGATGTTGTTGCTTTATACTAATTTGTGCGTCTAGCATATAGGTGAAAGAATGAAGTGCAATGTCTGCCGATCAATAAGTATCGAATCTTACTAAATCCATTTATCAGAATATTAATTTTTCCATACACACTTATTTGCTAAACTGTTCTACTTAATGGGAAGTATGTCCGTTATACTTTCTCCTTGTTTTATCTGTATTTCTATGTTTGTAAACATCTAAACCCAAAGTTTTAAATTATTTACTGATTACAAAATGTATATATGTATTAAATAACATTTCAAATTAGTCATACAGTAATTAACAGCATTGTTTTTCGACTGCACTCAGTCTCACAATTTGAAACGAACATATCGACTATCAAGAATCGTTGTATGTTTATTTGTTAAAATTTTCAGGGATCTTTCAGCTCCGAACTTTCAAAGAACTTTCAGGGAGCGAAAGTATTTTTCATGTGCATTCTGTAGTTACAGGACCAAGTTCAAATACAATTTAATTAGACATGTTAATATTCATGGACCTGTGCCTAGTCAAGTTGCACAGTTTAAATGTACCCAGTGTCCATTTGAAAGCGACAAAAATTGTAAGCATTGCATTGTTTTAGTTAAATCATGAATTCAGAGTTTACATAGTGACAACATAATGATTTACAATTTGTTAATTAAAAATTCCTTATTTTCCCTGATGTAGCAAATAAAAGCATTTTATTTAAATAAACAATAAAAATGACCTAAAATAAAATAGCTATGCAATATTTTTCTCTGAGTTTGAATAGTTACTTTCAATTATTCATCTAGTTGTGAAAATATAAAAATCGTTTAATTGTATCAGAGCGAAATCAATTCCAGCTTCTTTGCAAAGGCATTTAAAAGTACATTCGGGTATATTTTACAAATGTGCACATTGTGACTTTGAGACCAAACACAAGGAAAACCTGCCGAAACATTTGTTGAGGCACAAAGATCCCAGTGAGTGCAGAATGTATGACTGTGATGAATGTGAATATGAGACTAAAGATAAACTGGGCCTTAAACGGCATATGTTAACCCACAGGTAAACGACAACTTGCATACATCAAACTGTTATAAAACCTCTATGAATTTTAGGAGATTAGAAGAAGTAGAACATTTTAAGTGTGGATTGTGCAATTTTATGACAAAGCATCAACTTTCATACAACAATCATTTGCTCAAGATTCATAACAAGGATAAAATCGAGAAATTCCAATGTCCCGAATGCGACTTTGGTACCTATCATAAAATTTCTCTTAAAAATCACATACTAACCCATAGGTAAGGGAACGATGGCAAGCATTTTGCAACCAAGCACATTAGCACACAGTTCAGGTTTTACCTCGATCTTTTTTAGGCAAACGACTATTTCTTTCTTAACAAGTTAATAAAAAACTTAATATTTTAATTGTATTAAAGTAGGCAGCAATTAGAAAATGAAATAATGGTCTAGATAATAATTCTTAATCACGAAAATCCACTCTGTGTCTACGTGTTTTTAACAGACGTGTGAGACCTGCGATTAAAAATGTGGTAGTTAAGTAATTTTACGTATTAAATGGACCTTATAATCACATTGCTAGATATTAAAAAAATGTAATTAGGCAAGTTGCAGTGAAAGATATGAAGTACGCAAAATCCCAGCAAGTTAATGAATGAAAATTACCACACAATAAATAGACAACGAAAAATGTAGATATTTTACTACGACCGAACGAAGAGTATCTTACTATACTTCTATTTAAAATAAGCGATACACTTTTGTGTCGGCACCAGCTTCTAATGTGCTAAATTCAATGAAAGATGTCTTCATGCTAAATGTAATTTATTCGTAGAAAGCCAGGCGAAGTTCCTATGTACAAATGTCCAGAATGTCCATATGAAACGAAAAATAAACAGTTTTTACCCAATCACATGAAAAGACATCAGGGTACAATGCCATGCCCCAAGTGCCAGAAGCAAATCTGTCGCAGAGGCATGACTTTGCACTTGAAAACGCATGAATCCAAAGAAGCAAAGAAAAAGTAAACATTCTGTGTTTCTCCAAATATTCTGTACGTTTTCCCCATGTATTTTAGATATCAATGTGAACATTGTGATTACGGGACTCTCTACTTTGGAAATATGAGTCGACATAAGAAAATAATGCATTCGAACAAGGCTGAAATTGACTATAAGCTGTGCCCAGAGTGTCCATTTAAGACTTTTGAAAATGGTAATGGTTTAATAACTTGCAGCTTGTAAGAAATTTACAATCTCCTCCAACTGGATTTCAGCTAGGTTGAAAAGACACATAAAAGAAATGCACTGCGACGATGCTCCTCAATTTAATTGTGATCACTGCGATTTTACATCCAAGTTTAGATCTTGCCTTAAACGGCACATTGATACTGCTCATATCAACACGGATCCTGTTACTTGTCCAGTTTGCCAGAAACAGTCGGCCAATGTTTACACCTTAAGGTATTTTTTTTAATTTGTTGCTGATTCTATGAGCACATTGGAAGGTTTTTCCTAGGATTCATATGAAACTGCACAAACCAGAAGGTGAAATAAAAATGTTTCAATGTGCGGAGTGTCCGTATAAAACACGGCACAGTGGCGCGTATAAAGACCATGTAAGAAAGCATGAAACGCCAACTAAAGTAAGCCACACTTCTTAGTTAGTCTTGTTTCCTCATATTGCATCTTTCAGTATGACTGTAAAAACTGCCCGTTTAAGTCAGACGATAAATCCTTGTGGAACAATCATATTTCAAGAAAAACGGACGTCAATATCCCAGAAAATACAATTAGCTGTAAGCTTTGTTGTTACCGAACCCGGCAGAACGACAATTTACAACTTCATGTAATTAGGAAGCATGAACGAGACAGGAGGCGGAAGAAATGTTCGCATTGTACTTTGTGTGATTTTAAATCTTCGTAAGTTTTTTTGCGAATATCACACATTTTCCGTATAACGTTTTTTTTTATTAGGAATAGGAAGTTATTTGCAAATCACCTGAAGGGCCATAAGACTAAATATCCAAGTAAGCTGGAGGAAGAAGCATTTTATGCTTTTGAGGATGCGGACAGTTTGGAGGAAACCTCCTCCTCAAGCAAGGGGGATGTCTGAATTTCTTGGACCTAGGAAAAGTTTCGTATTGAATGAGGCGCTGTAATGTACGGGAAGGTATTGAAAAAATCATACTTTTAAAGTGATTGAATTGTGGCTGCGTGGAAGTACTACTACTAAATTAAGCTGAAGGAAATGATCAATTATGGAAAATTGCAATATTGCTCATCGCTGTGAAAAGTTAGTTATAATCGTCTAAACTTCCACGTGAAAGTTCATAGTGTAAATTGTAAAGAAAGTACTACAAGCATGGATAGCTTTTCGCAAATATTTCCAAACTCTTGTAAACTGAGCTAACTTATTATATAAAACTAAATTTTTTATTTATTAATCAATAAACAATGTAACTGTATTTTACAGTGATTTTGGACATCTTTTTACATTCTTTACTACGTCGCTCACAGCACAATGTGAGCCATAAAAGTTCAAATGCGTTTTTTCAACAGTATACTAAATGTTCAATTTAATCCTTACAGGCTATTAAAAATCAAACTGCAAACTTTTGTAAATACATGTAGGTAAGTAGCATTAAATGTTTTTACATTAAAAATAATGCATTTTTTTCAATGTGTTCAAATATGCGCTTGGCGTATTGCAGGAAAATATCTGCAAATGCTAAGGCGTAGTTTTTTTCCACATCGTCAAAGACCGCCCGCCATTCCTCATTAAGAACATTGTTTATATTGTCGCCCAGTAGTTTGTTACCATCGAAAAGATTATCGAACTGGTATTGAACATGTTCCGGGAACAACTTTACTGAGTAGGTTTTCGGGTCAAAGTATATGCCGTTTTTTGTAATCTCTTCGAATTGTATGTTGTGAATGGCGAGAAGATTTTCTGAAATTGAGAAATACAAACAATCCATTAATGAATCAAATCAATTAATTCACGCGTGTTTGTTTAAACTCTTATTCATTTTTCTTTGATAATTAATATAACTTGCGTAAAAAATTAAGGGCTTTAGAAAAAAATGTTACAAAATACTTCTTGTTGTTTTCCTTTTTTGTAATATGTTCGAAGCTATTTTACATAGCAATTACTGAGATCAATCTGCAATTAAAACAGATCAAAGTTCTTAGAAAGCATGACTCACTTTAAAACGGTTGCAGTTGTATTAGTGTTTTCATCTACCGCATACCTAAAATTATGGAAGATTCTCCTTTGCCCTGTACTGGTAATAATAATATTTTGCCGTTTACCTCGTAACTAGCCTTAATTGTTACTAGTGGAAAAAATGCGGAGAATGTTAAAGTGTTCTGAGCAAAGTCCATGCTAAAATCAAATAAATTATACATTAAAACTTTGCATACACCAAAGCAGAGACGCATACCTAGAATCACGGATCGTTACATTTGCAAGCCCAAAAACCAGAGCGTTTTTGTACTTTTGAGCAAAATGCAGCACTCCTTGTCCGGCATCAATTTGTAATTTAGCGATAGCTAAAGGGTCTATAGGCTTTAGACCATATTCTGGCAAACCTACAATTACGTAATGAGAAATATTAAATTTTTTATACGTATACAGATTAAGCATTTATCATTTCGGCTGGCAATTGAAAGATTTTTCTATGCATGTAATGCATCGATTTACTAAACACCCTGAATGGAAAATATTTTAAAACTAAATTATTACCATCTTTAGTTAGTTTGATGCCATTCTCAATTGCCTTGCTCAGGCACTCGTTATCCTGCTTTTCGCATGCAGAAAATTTGTGACCTAAGCACGAGCAAAAAATGTTTTATAATTCATTAAAGACAAATTTAAAAATATATTTGGGAAAAATATGAAATAGTTCGAAAATATAGATATAATACTTACCAGAAGTTTGCTTAACTTTTGTACTTAAAAAAATTACACATGTAACTTTCATTAGGAATATCATGGCGCCCTACCGTTGAATGCAATACATATAGCATTTTGCCAGAGCGATATTGACTTATATTACACACGCACATCGATTCTAAAGCATATAAATATATAAACTTTTATAATTACTTTAATTAGGGCGTTTTTGTAGCACACTTTGCTTTTAATTAAGGAAGTTGTAAGGTGCGTGCTTTAAAATGCAAATATTACTTGATAAATTGGACTGTTGTCGCAATACAAAAAAAATAAGAATCGGTTATGTTTAAAATTTATTTTATTGTTAGATCCAAAGGAATCAAAGCCGTTGAACAACTTTTGGTTTAATAGTAGACATTTTCGTAAATTTTTTATTCTTTATAAACATTTAAGCTCCAATTCCGCGATTATTATATTCCCATAATCTGTTGTGGGTGTTGTCGTCCAGGTCACGATCCGGCTTAATATCGGTGCTAAAGGGGCGTTTGCTGGCCCCTGCAATTGTGTATGGGGCCGTTCCATTAATTATATTCTCAATATTTGAGTCCCTAATAACCAGCTGGCCATTGGGAGATTCGCCCGCTACATAATCCAGTGGACTAGTGACGCCTTTGTCCCAAGATCTCGCCAGACGAATCTAAAAACGCAAAAAAATCATCGATTGATTGTTTTTTTTTGCTCACAGTAAGAGAGATCACATACATAAACACATGTATTACACAGTACTCACTTCGTTACTTTGCAAATAAGAAGCATCTCCAGTAATGTTACTGTTAATGACCAAAAACCCATACGTTCGTCCAGGGGCGGTATCAGGCATAAATATTACATACTGTTCCTTCTCAACTGAAGCCACAGTATTGAAAGTAACCATATTGAAAACCGCGGAAGCGCCTCCAATCACATAATCGAGCTCACCTTCGATGTAGCACATGTGAATCAGAACTCTTTCAGCCTTTTCATTTTCTCCTTCGTCTATTCCCAGGCCCACAGTGTCTTGAATACTCATAAAGTTGTTGTTCATGAGATGAATCTACCGAACCCAAATTTAAAAGCTGTAAAATAATACTGAATTTGGTCCTTCGAGCCGGACGAAAGCAGAAATTTTACTTCATATTTAACTTTTTACCATTGTTCACAACGCCGGTTTTTTTTATTGCATTAATGGATGTACATTTTAAGAGCCTCTCTAGATGCACTTATATTGAAAGGATTTTTCAAAGTACGTGCGTATTACTGATTAAAAAGATACCGATGTTTCAAAGATGAATTTTTCTATTTGTGTGATACGTTAAAGCGACATTAAATTATGAGCGGGCGTAAACCACTTACTTTGTCACCTGATGTTTTAATAGCCAGAGCCTGAGCCTCAGTGGCACCATTGTGTATAGTCACGCCTTGCAGTTGGAAGTCATTGCTTTGCACCCAGAATACTGCTGAACATTCAATTCCAATAGCCTCCTCTTTGATAGCGCATGATTTATAGAGTTCCCAGGCAGGATCACCTTCCTGGTAGTTGACCCCGTCTTCATTTACAGTGATTTGGTAGTCAGCAACGGAGGTTTGGGCACTAAGAATGGCCATTATGTGCACATCTTCAGGTCTATCGGGGTCGCCATAGATTGTGAGCGGAACGTCTCCTTTGATGTAGACAGTTTCCCTGAAAGTCTTCTAGTTTCCCTACAGAATATTTGAAGAAATATACTAACATGTAATGTCCAGGTTCAATTTTGATGTAGGTCCGGAAAGCACTGCTACCACTTTGGATGGCTTCATTCACCACTGCTTGGATCGATTGTCCTTCTGATACAACGTAGTGTGGCTGATCGGGAATTTCTATTTCTTCAGGCTCCCAACCAGAGAGATAGTTTTCTATGGTGTACCTGCTTGCTTCTTCTTCGGATAGAATGGGCCGATTGTTTGTACCAGGATATTCTAGTGCAAATGCTGTTGAAACCCAAAGCAGGGCCCAAATACTCAAAAGACACCGTTTCATCAGAATGTCTAGTACAGTACAGTACAGTTGTTTGAATGTTTTACTAATGAGCAAATGATATAACAAATAATATTGTCAACAATTTAAGTGTTTTTCTATCTAATCTTCGATATTCTTTTTAATTTTCAATTATTCTGGAATGTTTATTTTCCAACTGTATCAATAACATTCTTATTACGTTAATGACTTATCGGAGTCTTGGCTACTTCCATGTTATTAAACTCCCATAATCTGTTATGGGTATTGTCGTCCAAATTCCGATCTGGTTTAAGATCAGTTTTAAATGGTCTGCTGCTGGTGGCTGCTGCAGAGTACGGCGCCTCCAAGTTGATAATGTCCTCAATAGTTGATTCCCTGATAACTAACTGACCATTAGGCGATTCATCTGGAATATAAAGGTCTGCGCTCGCAATTCCTCGATCCCATGATCTAGCCAGGCTAACCTGGAAATCGCAATAATTTATTGCTTTCTATGCCAGGTGCATCAAGTAGGTACGACTGAAGCTTTTAAATGATCTACATTTTAAACTAATTAACTGAATATATTTTAATTGATGTGAGCAAAAATGGTTGTTTTAAATGGTTGAAAACACCGCATCTATTTGAATGCAAATGTTCAATTTGCAATCAAATTAGCTCAAGTGATGCACAAACATTGAAATTACTGATTTGGAAGACGACTTCGTTAATCGGTTCTGTGTTAAAAAAAAATCCTAATTAGTTACTATTAAAGGTGTGATAAACGGTTATTTTTCTGTAACGGGTTACAACATTCCAGTTTCACCTTGGTAATAGGTTTCAAAATGCGGTTCCAAAGGGAACATAAAACTTTTTAAAATGTTCATTAGAAATGCAGAATGATGATGATATTTTATATATTACTTTCTCGCATTTCGTTTCACAATAATATTGTGTCCAATAATCGACAATAACAACAAACAGAAAAATGTGTTTGGCAAACCTGGACGCAGTATTACTCGACTTAATTTTGGTACCATTAAAAAATAATGAAAAAAAAATATGTCGACCGGACAGTTTATTACTATTCAAATAACTTTCATTTCATATCTGACTGAATTTATATTTAAAAATGGCCAGCTTGCTTAAATGCAGGTGCACATTCTGCTTAAAACGTTTGTTATTTTACATTTCAACTGTGATGAAAGTTATGTCTTAGACTTTTAGTTTGCTCATAGCTCATATGCAAGTGCAAATTCTGCTTAGTTTGCTGGTAACAGGCATATAACTCTCGAGCTAAGTTTCTTGAGATAAATCCCTTTTTTTAAAGATTTATTACAGAATGTCAGAAAACTAAATACTTATAGACGAAAAATGCTGAAATATATCATCGCGGCAACTAAATATTCGCTGGTTCCTGGAGAGCTGAACAGTAATTCTTATAAACGAAAAAAAATAAACACACTCATTAAGGCAACGCGCAACTACAGACAACATATTTTCCGTTGACAATGGCCGCATCGGTTCTGTGCTCACGCGAACCGGTTTTTCAGGTTTATGAGACGGTTCCAAAAATAACCGTTTAAATTGGCAAACAGCTGCAGCTGGTGCGAAGTGCGCACCGCTGTTACGGTTTTATGAGACGGTTCCAAAAACAACCTTTTAATCGGGAAACGGCCGCAGCTGGTACGAAGTGTGCCCAACTGTTTCGGTTTTATGAGACGGTTCCAAAAAAACGGGTTAAATCGGACATCTGTAACTACGGTTTCAGGTTACACGTTTGGAACACTGTTATTTTAGCGGTTGCGTTGAATACCGACCATCCATGGTTACTATACATATTGTATTTTGGCAATTAAACTGTTTGAGTTTGAAAACAACTGAAAGGTGCAAATTTGAATCTGTTCTTGACTGTTGTTTATTGTTTATTGTACCTACTGTGCTGTTGCTTAGCTGGGCTTGTTATTTTGATACGGTTTAATCATGGTTTCTAAACACCACTTTGTTTCTACGTTTTCGTTCTTCTTATCTTGTAGCTTTTATTTTATCATAAAAGTGTCTGGCAGTTTTATCGTTATCTACTAGATGTGCTTCAAAATTCTGCTATTTATTATACCGTTATTAGCATTAATCTTGAAAGCTTTTCCGTTCCTGGATTCTTTGATAGCTGGTTGATGGTTTGCTTCCCGAATATATTTGTGGAATAATTGTATGGAAATTTACCTGATGGGATGTTGCATAATATGAGTCCCCAGTAATACTGCTGTTAATGACCAAAAATCCAAAAGACCTTGTCGGAGCAGTGCTAGGAGCAAATATGATCTGGGAACCGTTCGTTTTGATGGCAACTGTACGGAAAACAACATTTTCCAATACTGCTGAGGCACTTCCGAACACATAATCCACTTCTCCCTCCACGTAACACCGCTCAACAAAAACGCGTTCCAGTTGACTTCCGTTATCCACGCCTAGACCCACAGTGTCTTGAAACCCCAAAAAGTTGCAGTTTTTCAAATGCACCTGGAACGGCCAGTTTGTCGTTAATGTTCCCTGGATTTCCTTTCTTTACCTTATCAGATGTGGTTTTGATAGCGATTCCTTGAGCGTCTGTGGCACCGTTATGGATTGTAACGCCTTGCAGCTGAAACTCTGGACTATTCACCCAAAGTACCGTTGCACAAGAACCAATAACTCCCGTTTTCGAAGCGCATGAATTATACAAATCCCAGGCAGGATCATCCTCTTGGTACCGTTCCCCATTTTCATTTACCATACTTTGGTATTCAGCTGCGCGCATTTGGGCGCTGATATTCGTCATGATGTGGATATTTTCAGGATTGTCTGGATCTCCAAAGATGGTAAGCGGGGTTTCTCCGTTGATGTATACAGTTTCCCTAGTGCATCAGTGCTGACTGGGGGGCGCCAAGTGTTGATTACTTACTTACATGTAATGCCCTGCTTGAATTTTTATGTAGATTCTTCTGGTGCCATCGCTATCTCTAATTGCATCGTTCACTACTTTTTGAATAGAATCTCCTGCTTGGACTTCAAAGTCTGGTTCCTCGGGAATGGCAATGTCTTCAGGCATCCACTCACTTAAGTAACTCTCGGGTGTGTATTGGCTGGCCTCTTCTTCACTTAGGATGGGGCGTGTTTCTGTTCCGGGGTAATCTAGCGCACCACACCGAAGCCACGTTAGGGCCAATAAAGTTGATAGAATGAAGAGCTTCATGATTAGGACTTCTAATTCAATTTGTTTTTTTTTGGATATTTTACTGCCGAATTGAGGGCTGCTGAGTAGCTTATCAGCAAATGGCGCACAAACGAGGTTGAGAAGTGTTGTTATCAATTTAGTTATTTTTCTTGAGAGTAGTTTTAGCGGAGTTGAAGTGTGTTATTGACTACATCAAAGTATTTCAAAAGTAGATTGGACTATTTTCAAATAAAAATTCAATGTAGGTCATTATACGTTTTATTTCCATATTACTTTGGGCTTCCTTGACCACTGTTATTGTACTCCCACAGTCTGTTATGGGTGTTATCATCCAAATCCCGATCCTGTTTAATATCAGTTGAAAATGGCCGTTTGCTGGTAGCTGCAGCCGCATAGGGAGCTTCTATATTAATCACATCGTCTATGTTTGAGTCTCTAATCACCAATTGCCCATTCGGGGATTCGCCTGGAACGTACAAGTCGGCGCTTTTAATTCCTCTGTCCCATGATCTAGCCAGACTGATCTGAAAACGGAAAATCTCATCAGCTTCTTCCACATTACCATGTGCAGATGTGTTTACCCTGTTGGAACCTATATAGGTAGCATCGCCAGTAATGTTACTGTTAATCACTAGGAACCCAAAGGAACGTCCTGCGGGAGTGTCGGGAGCAAACACGATTTTCGAGCCGCTTTCTTTGAGTGAACCTGTGTTGAAAGTAACCATGTTAAAGACAGCGACGGCTCCTCCGTATACGTGATCTATTTCGCCTTTGATATAGCACATATGAACAAGAACTCTTTCCACTTTAGTGATGTCGCGGGTGACAATGCCCAGACCAAGAGTGTCTTGGAGGCCCAAGAATCAGTTATTCATTAGATGGATCTGAAAGTGATGTAAATTTATAATAGATTCTGTTGAGTAATGGGTATTTTTTTGAAAATGTTTAAATTACTTCATCTAACACTGTACAAATATTGGGTGGTCTTTGTTATGCATTGAAAGTAGAGTTGAGCAAGAAATCACTACCTGTGATTTTTTCACAATGATTATTAAATCACAATCTGTGACGAACGTAAAAATAAACAGTGATTTAAAACGTGATATTAATTTTATTAATTATCGCTATGAAATTAATTAATTAATTAATTTTTCGCTAATGAAAGCTTGCATTCACGGGTTCCCCTAGAGCCTGGATTTTATTGATATTTTTGGGAACCTATTTCAGTATACACCATTCATTAGCCGTATTCTGATTGTGTATCGGTAAAACGGTTTGCGTGTTTTTAAAATAATTTTCTAGGAATACGCTTAGTGTTTCTGTTTTGTTCATTTTTTCGAATTGAAATTGCTGTGTTCTAAGTGACGAAAAATTACTTTTTTGTGGACTTTCTTTTCTGCATTAGATGATAGTTTTGCAAAATGCAATTTATGCAAAGTAGAATTGTCTTACAAAACAACAAACTTTCGCGAAGAGTAGCGAAGTAATATTTTTGAACCTATTCAATCAAATAAAGTTTTTTCCATATCAAAAATTAAAATCAAATACCTATAGTTTGTTCACAAAGAATTAAGAGCTACATTCGCTATTCTATGCGAAACAATAGTTTTTTGTTCCGATTTTAATTTTTTTCCAGAATGTTTTTCGAACCTTTAGAGTACATGGGTTTACAAAATGTGTAGCCAGTTGCTAGTTGCAGAGGCTGTTATTTTTTAGTGTCCTTAAAATAACTTGTACTTTAAGTATAAAATATTATTTGTTGTATACCTAAATAAGGTTATTTCTTTAAAAAATTTGAATTACAAATGTTTTAAAATTGTTTCTGCAAGAGATGCACAATTGCCCATCACCTTATGACGCTGGTATATCACGAAAACGGCAACCACAAATGAAATCAAATTCACAGGTTAAATTTACAGTTGAAAATAAATCACATTCACAGTTATAACAGTGATTTTAAAATCGCGCTTTAGCTCATCTCTAATTGAAAGTATAAGTGAATTCCTCTGCAGGAAATAATAACATTTTTCTTATGAAGTTGAGCTGCTCTGTATGCGCTAATAGCAATTAAAAATTGATTATGTAAACTTTTAAGTTTTTTTATTAGTAAATTTTTGAAGCGAGCACAATATTACAAAAGATGTTCCAAGTCTTGTTCTCCATGTTAAACACTCTATCCAGAGCGCTTTTTCGTTTATTCGTCCAAAAATACTAGGCATTTCTCGATTTTGCATGAGTACATCGAATTTTAACGTTTTCATTTTTTAACAAGAAGGAAATTTATTAGGAAGGAATTTTGCAATACAATATTAACAGATCATAAAATAATGTACTTATTTTTAATTAAAAATCCTGAATATTTGCCTTATTTTATAAAAAGTTTGGTGCCTCCTAATAGTAATTTGCTGTTTACTTACTACTAATAAACTATTTCCAGAAAATATAAAAATTCTAGGTTTGTGTAAAATTGCAAAAAATAATAATAATCGTATAAATTTACGCGCCAAAATGTAAATTTTTTATCATTCGCATATCTTGCTTAAGACATTTTTGCACAATTACCACTTTCTTTGAAGCCATATGTTGCTCTTTCGTGTAGGTCAACGTGTTTTTTTACAAAATCTATTACACAATTGCCTAAAAACGACCTGGAAATTTACATAATTACAAAATAACCATTTTGAATTATATGACTCAATGGCGTTTTCAATGATTAGTTTTTAACGCTTTATCATGCCGTTTTGCTAATTATCTTAAACACTGGTAAAGTTATTAATGATTGAAATTATTTAACGTATTCAGATTATTAATGAGAGTTTACATATAAAAAGTATTAATATGTAAATTATAACGTATAATGTAAACGTAAGTGAAAAGTATACGCTGCGTTTCGAGGAACAGGGTGTATTAAAGCTGTAAAGAGTGTAAGAAAATCCGGAGCCGCGAACAAATTCCTTTAGGCTCGGCTTTTTAGGTCTGGACGGGACGGAAGATGTACATTTTTAAGTAGTGCATACTAAAATTTTGTCTAAAATTGTGTATGTAATTAGTTGTTGTTAACTCCATGTTCATTTGAACAGTGTTTCGATTTCTTGTTGCAATTTATTGTTGTTGTAATATTGTTTGCCGTCCACTCAGAATATTTCTTTGATAAGTGTGTTTGAATGATCCAATCCTAGTTTACTTCATCACGTAACTCGCTAAGGAAAACAGATACGAAAGCAATGCAAAATGTAAAAATTGAATAGCGCAATTGAGCAATTGTAAAATATATCAGGATGATCAAGTTTACAGAGCACAAAATAATGGAAAGTCAAAACAGTGTATCAGTTTGCTCCATAAAACATATTGGATAACATAAACATACACTTGGATGAAAATTATTATGCCAACACTGCCGTTTCTGTACAAAATCGTTATGAATTAAATGAAGGAGCATTATTTCAAGATGATCCATCGTTTAATAAAGTTTTAACCTTATGAACCGATGCAACTGATCCTTACCTTATCAGCTCCTGTTCTTAAGGCAACAGCCTGAGCATCAGTAGCTCCATTATGAACAGTTACTCCTGCCAACTGAAAGTTTTCGTTTTCCACCCAAACTACTGGACTGCAATCTGTTCCAATATTCCCATCTCTTGAGGCGCAGTAATTGTACAGTTCCCATGCAGAATCGCCCTCTTTGTATCGGGCTCCATTCTCATTTACTATGTTCTGATACTCTTCTGCAGTCGCAGCAGCGCTGATCGTGGACATGATATGCACATCTTCCGGATTGTCTGGGTCCCCGTAGATGGTTAGGGGGATTTCGGATTTTACATACACAGTTTCCCTGGATGGATTTCAATTTTACGTCTTGTATTGAGTTGGAGGATAACTCACATGTAATGCCCCGCCTCGATTTTGATATAAATGCGGGATTCCGGCCCGTTTTCATTGATAGCTTGGTTGACCACTTCCTGTATAGATTCACCTGCAGAAACCAGGTAATGAGGATAGGCGGGAATTACGATTTCTTCAGGTTCCCAATCGGAAAAGTAATTTTTTTCCGTGTACTTGCTCACTTCTTCATCGGATAGAATGGGGCGCGTTTCTGTTCCTGGATATTCCAGCGCAACAGATGGTTGCAGTGAAGCGCACAATATCGCTAGCACGCAAGTACTTGAGACGAACTATTAAATATTTGAAGAAAAGAAGTTTTATGAAAAAAATTCTTGTATGTAGGGGAAATGTATCTATTTGGGAAAATTACCTTACGTGTCATTTTTTTGGCTGGATATTTCTACTGCACGATAGAAGTAGAAATATGTTTTTCCATGGGCATGATCTAAGTACTTTAACTTACTGTTTATCTTATCGGTACACTTAGGTTTTATATCTCCAGACGACTTAAATGTTTTGCTACGATTTACCACGGACCGAATTCTTTGCCTAATTGAACTATTATTATTATATTTTTAAGTATCGTGATTATTTTATCAATTTTGTCATACCGGGTGTTTTTTAATAAGTGTCCGATATTTTGCAAAGCGATTTATTGAGTATTTTTAAGATTAAAAGTCCATATCAGCATCGGACTAGTTGATATTCGCTTAAAAAAATGTTTTAAAATTTATTTTTATTTATTTGGCATATATTTTTTATTGAACGTTTTATCAAGTAACAACGTTGCTTATTTCTGATTAGGGACGTACTTATTACAACATAGCATGATGATTCAGTAATCGCATAGAGAACGTTTGTAAAATAACGCGCTTTTTGGATAAAGATGAATTTAATGTTTTATATTCATCTGAAAGTGTCATAACATGTTTTGTTGTAATTAAATACATTCTGTAATTTCGATGTTCTAATCAATAGGTAACTGAGGGACAAATTGAATATAATAAGATAAGAATAGTAATGTTATATAAATTATTCAACTATTTGAATCACTTTAATTTTTTGCGATGGTTACACGCCGAATCTTATTCCTTAAACATTATCAGAATATCCAATATTCTTGAGGTTTTTGAAGCCCATATATTTTTATAATCCTCTTAGTAACATCAAAAGAATAAACGAACCAATGATTGTTGATATAGTTTTATCCGGACACCCTAAGAATAATTAATTGGTGCTTATTATCAAATTCAAACCTTCCGGATCTATTAAACTTATTCCGGGAGGTTTAAGTAAATAATTTTAATGATTTTCACTGCACTAAATGATTTCTGAAATTATAATTTTAATGGCAACATTAAAGCACGCATTTATTGGCCATTGGACCACACTTCAAAAAATCAATAAAATACGCTCTAGGTAGTACCGTACGTCATGAAAATTTCCAATACAAATAATTAAACCTAATTTACTAGGCAATATATATGATTTTCCTACAATTTCGCATGATTTTTCGAAATTGCATAAGACCTGTTTTATGCATATATAACACATTGTTTTACCAATGAATGTTACCCTCAATATACTCACAAAAACATAAAAACTGCCTGATTATTATTCACAAATATGTTAATTATAGCTTTTGGAATATATTGCTTTTAAATAAACGAATGACAAGGTAATGACAAAATGTTGAATTTATGACGGAAAATAATATTGCTGAATAACAATAAAAATATTATTTCAAACCGAAATGATGCTGCTTTATTGTAATTTTAGAACGGATCTCCTTAGTTAACTGAGAGATTGTATTCCTAATTGCGTCAAAGAATTTAATCGTTTTCATTTAGGCCTTGCAATATTATTTAAAAAAATAATTAAATAATTGTTAATGTTTTAAAATTTAAATTTTAAGCGTTAATGATATAATTTGCATTTTAATAAAGTTTAAGCCATGGTGTTGATTAGTGCATCAGCAGACTGACACTATTTTTCTCCAGCTTCTCCACTTTCTGTCTCTTTCGAGTCTGCCACTATTTTTATTCAAATGAAAAAAACCGGATTCAAAAACAATCAATAATAAAAACTAGTCCAACACTTAGTAAAGATATAAAAAATGACTAGAAAATGTACGCACAAGTTTAAAAATATTACAAATATATACATGTTTTGTAAATTTGTGATTACATAAAATTCAAGAACATAATTAGGTAAATCCATACTTTAAAAAACCATTTTTTGGTACCGGTGATAGGCAGAACAGAAAATTATTTCTTCAATTTAGTGTTTGTGCTAAATGTGTCGAAAATTGCAAAATATTTTTAAGATAAACTAAAACAAATAATAAGGTTCAAAACTCTTCAGATAAGTAACATAGCTTTTTATATGAATTTTTAGTTATGAAATACATCAAAACAGAAACGCCCTGAATAAAATTTATCACTGATGGCCATCCAGATCTAAGTAAACAAATTAAAATTCAGTTCGTCTACGCAAGCGACTTACATTGTAAAATAAATCGCCTAAATACACGGATAGCAAATCAGCACCTTTGCACTAATTCAAGTAAAAATATTTAAATAACTTTTTTCGAACATAATCCGTCTTATTATTCAGATAAAATATGCTCAAACTTTGTATGTATAAAAATGTCAATATTTTTCTTAATTTCATAAAAGTGAACAATTTTATAGTTACTTACTAAGTTGAAACATAAACTTTGATATTAGATACCTACATGTTGAAATAACTCTCTCATAAAATAATGCTTTCTCCAAAATAATTCAGGATACAATTTTTTTTACGATTTACATATATACTGCCCAATTAAGTCGTATATTATAACGGTTTAACATTACGTTAACTTAATAATAATAATTGAAGTCAAACAATTACCATATTAGTACTCACATAAACTTGTTGATGGCCACCATAATTTAATTTACGTCACCATCCAACTTTTTTTTTATTTAAAACGAAATTGTTCATCGGCAAGTTTGTTTTGGGAGATTCGGTTCGTCTAAAATGTCGCGAGTGTTGGTTAGTTTGCTGCTCGTTTTTAGTGCCGCTTGTTGTAAGTACTTGCATTAAATTAACAATAAAATTAAATTGAAAAGGAATTTTGATAAATTATTCGCACTTGCAGATGCGGATCAATTCACTTTTTGCAAGGTGGGTCAATCTGGAGCGGATAAGTGTCTTACCAAAAATATCGAAAGTGCTATTCGATCGCTAAAAAATGGTAAGAGTTTCGCTTCATTCTAATTCACTTTCTGAACTAGATTTCAATTACGTTTGTCTTGGGGTTTTTATTAATTACTCACTTCTATATAGGAATATTTGTTCATGTAAGTATGCTATATAAGTATTAAAATAGAGGCTGGCATTGGTAAGTAAAAGGAGCGACACATTTTTACGCAATTAAAATGTTTGCTTCACTTTTCCAGAAATCAGTGTTTAACTATAGGGTGAATATTCTCTTCGATTTTAAATAGAAACCAATTAATTTAATGGAACAGTCTGGTAATAGTTTATTTGCTGGACATCAATAAATAGTGTTAAAGAACCATAGTGATTAAAACGTAATTATTACGCGACTTTTTCTCAAACTTAATTACAAGACTATTAAGAAAAGTATGGACCTACCAATGGGGCGTTTAATTACCTAATGAACCTTTTAGTTTCTCGAAATGTTCTCGCATATTTCGTGGAAGTAATTCGTAATTTCGTAGTATTAATAAAAGATGATGTGATCGAATTGGTTCTAGAATAAATTAAAAATAATTATGTTGTGAATAATATCAAACATATTGCAGGTGCTCCTGAATATGGCTTAATATCATTGGACCCACTTCATGTGGATAAGATTACGATCGATGCAAATCAAACTGTTCAATTAGTGCAATATTACACCAATATCGATTTAAGTGGATTCAGCGATGTGGATGTCAAGAAAGCGCAGTAAGTTTTTTTTTTTTTTAATTCCGATATTTTCCAAAACTTTGTTATTTCTCTCTAGCTATGACCCAGGAAAGAAGCTTTTATCCGTCCTAGGTTTGTTTCCTCGGCTTATCCAAGTAGGAAATTGTATGGCTAAAGGAAAACTGTTATCATTAGTAGTGGAAGGGAATGGAAATTCAACTTTAACTTTGGGTAAAAACCTTATCGGCTACCTGGCGAAGAAGTTAATTTATTTTAACTGATAAATTAATTTAAATTGTAGACAACACAGAAATTTTGGTAAACATTCAGTTCGAAGATACGACAAAGGATGGGAAAACCTTCTTCAAAATAAAATCATTTGTAATGAACATAACACCCAAAAGGATGACATCGTATTATGCAAATCTTTTCAATGGAAACCAACTGCTAAGCGATAATATTCTCAAACTGATCAATGAGGAATGGGAAACTTTATATAACGATGTAAAGCCTTCAATCAATGAGAATTATGCATCTATTTTTAAGAAATATGGGGAAGTGTTTTTCGATAAAGTACCTGCCGATACAATATTTCCCAAATAAGAAACACACAAACAGTGAAATCTTTGAACAATTCGTCATGTGATTATAAATATATTGTTGAACATTATTATATTGATTTTCTTTTACGGGTTTGTAATTTTACAAAATTCATAATTTATTTCATTAACATTTTTTGTGGTTTCAAGTATCGCGCTCCTGCAGTTAATTTGTTTTTCCACATAATCGTTTTAAGTGTTCAAATTGTCATGAAATTTTTGTGCAAAATTAGGTCCGTTTGGAGGACTGCTTGATTCCTTCTCATAATAAGTGTGTATAAAAACCCTTAGACAGGTGATTTTTTTAGAAGCAACTTGTTCTTTTGCTCCCAAGTATACGAGGGTCTTTGAGCTGGTTCATTTGATAGGGAATTTTATAAAAATATATATAAAGTTCCATAAAAATTGGCGAATAAAAAATAATTCGATTTATGCGAGTGGAGTGTTCTGCAATTGTAAGTGAATAATATATTATTCCCTTAACATTTACAAGCCTGCTGCTTTTAAAATTCCATTTCCCAAATTTGCTATATGTCGGCAACCAAAGATCGGATCGAAATGAAACCGATATCAGCAAATATCACTCTTTGGACATTTACACGCTTTACAAACCTGAAATGAATTAACTGTCTTACTTACCTACCTAAGCAGCGAAAAACAACCAGTAAGAGAAGCCACTTTTTTATTTGTTTGTCTAGGAAAAAAACACTATCTAACAACTCAAATTTAATCAAAATGCTGGTCATATCTTTAAAACATCTTACTGTTCCTTCGTATTAATATAATGCAAATGTATTGTTCACTTTTTCGGAGGTGGATGTTTACTGTTAGTATATCCTTTTTCAGTATTCGGATCATCCACTAAACCCTGCATTATGCTAAGATCTATAGGTACTTTGAAGTGCTGTTCAAATAATATTATCTGTTGGCCAGTTGGTTCGTATTCATATAAGTCATCTCGCCAAGGCAATATACTCAGCTCTTTTGGCTTATATATGATTTCACCGGCTTTAACTTCCAACTTGTGGATGCGGTTTGGGGTAAATCCATTGAAGTAAAGCAAATATTTCCCTTGAGTGGTGTTGTAATATATTCTCAACGGTATTTTACTCGCTAACATATGTGTTACAATCACCAGCAATATCAACGCAGTTGTCATGATCATCAGATGACTGTCCGTCACAGTCATGTCCTGCGGCACAATTTCATCAGATATAATTGCAAACTTCTTCGTTGGCGTCTGAACTTCATTTCCACGCAAAATAAATGATAAAGATGCACCTGCAAGCGCTATACAACTTATCCATTGAAAAGATGTAAAGTAATTTTCAAAAGGAAATCTGTACACTAACTCGTAGCTCTCTGGGGGATTGTCTATCAGCCTCAATTCACGATTGGTTCGTCTTTTAAAGATCCAGAAGTAATTTCTTTTATGAATTCTAGGGTTTAAAGGGGCTGTTTCAGTGAGCACTCTACAATTCTTTTGCAGTGTATGAAACGAGGAATTATTTGTTCTCAGTGGCAAGCTCAGCATTTGAATGGAGAAGACTTTTCTACTAGCCCATAGAAGAGCCATCATAACAAATTTCCTTCTAGCCCTTGTTATTATTATTCAAAATTTTGGGGTTATAAAGTTTAAACGCCGAAAGTGTCAGACCTTGACATTAGAATGTAGGAAAATGAAGTTTTACCAATCGATATATAGTTTAAATGGTGAATGAATTTCAATAATTTTATTTTCATATTAAACTGCTACGTATGTCTTGTTTCTTTTGCTAATCTATAATAAAGTTATAAAGCCAATTGGCAAAAATATAAATGTATTACTTTTTAACTTGCTCTATGGAACAATACAATTAACTTTAAACGGTGCTAGCTTCGCTGACGTCACTAGAAATACTTGGCTGCTCACTACAGAGCACCTCTGAACAATTTCTTATGTCAAATCAGTCAAATGTCGGCTGTTCTGTTCCCAGCAGAAAATTCCGAGTTTCTAAGCTGATGCAATAAGTTCTCGCAGTTTTCGTTCCTTTCTTAAAAAGTTGTCTCCAAATTAAGTTTTCTACTCGCTCTATTGTGATCTATCTCATATCTGTTCACCATGGCTGAGGATGAAGCAGTAAGTAATCAACACATTCTAGGTTAGAATAGAGGCATGTTAGCAGGAATCCTGCCAAGTCCCTTCTTTCTAGCCGGGCTCATTATTTCTACTAATACTCCTGATGGCTTAAAATGATCGAATTGTTATAATATTAACTCATAAATTCCTTCGAGTGTAAAACTGTAAAAGAGTAAACGTTGTGGAACCTACATCTGTTTGAGAAGCAGGAATTTTTTATTTAATTTTAATATCGGTTAGTTCGTTGAAATGTAATACTGAAGTCAAAAGACTAGATGCTTTAGTAATTTATATGCGCGTTGAATTGAACGAAAATCCACATTTAAGAAATTTTTTTTAGCAATCCTAGTTTTGGATCCGGTGGCTGACGCAATCAATCTGCCAGTGCATATTAGTAAATTTATGAACGTATTAAGATGGTTATTTTTCTACTCCCATTTGCTCTGCTTCTCGGCAATTTAACTTACAAATGTTCTGTTGTTTTCTGAGATTATCCCCAATGCCCCAAATAACCAACGCCCCGTTATCGTATAAGTAAGCGAATCCCAAACTCTTTTGACCCACAAATCTCTTTTCATAGTCAAGACTTGTCTACGGACCCTGGGTAAAACACTACAAAAATGCATAATAGAAAAATTTTAAATTTAACTTTTGATGTCTTCAATGGTAAAATTTAAGTATAGATAAAACATTTTGTTGAAGAAGTATTTATTAAAATTATCACGTTTGTTTAAAAAATTCAAAATAAATTAATGACTTGGAAGAACCTGATGGGATATTATGGGTGTATTTATGCCCGGCTCAATGTTTGTGAGTAGCAACCGCAAATCCCCACGAGTACTAATTTCTAGTCGGTTTCTTTTTTTTGTGACGAAGCTCATAACGGCACTGAATCAATCTTCTACCAAAAAGGAAGACGGAAAAGCAGTGAACGCTGCTGTACCCATAGTTGTGGATATAAAATTGAAATCTGTTTTTCTAACCAGAAATTGCATCCTTATTTAAACATTGGTTTCAGCTCCTCATTTGTGGATAATTCTATAAGTTGTTCCTGTATCAGTTTGCATTCATCTGCATTTGTGCTCTGAGTTTGACCACTTGCAAAAGGGTTCTATTTTATAATTGCATATTAAACTTTGCGCTGACCCCCTGACTTTGTTCAGGGACCCAAAATAGACTTTAATTTTCTGAATGATCCCACGGACCCCTTGGGGTCCGTAGGGACCACTGATATAAGGGTAACAAGAGGCCGCTGAGGTTCTGTAATTTTCAAATCGTCTTTCTGTTGAGCTGATATTAGTGCAACTTTCTCATATTTTAACCGGCTATTATACAGTTACCAACTCTCACGCTCAACGCATGAAAACATGTATGTGCATAGTGAAGGTCGACTGTTTGAACAACTCCTATATAAAAACTTACTGTATTATTAATGAGTGTTCGTTTCTTAAATGCAACATTTCGTGTTTTTTTCAATTCTATTCAATAAACTTTTGAATTCTTCAACTCTTTTTTCCACAACTTTTTTCAGCATTTCGACCTTATTTGTAAGAGAACTGCGATATTGATAGAAGGAGTTTCATAAAAAAACACAACTTTGATATGCTACGGATTTTTGGAAACACTCCTGTGTAACGAAAATAATTTAAATGCATGGCAACTATTGATGCCAATTTCGCATAAAAACTTGTTTCAAAATTACACTCCAGTTAACTGTAGTTTTCCGCCTCATCTTTGTTGCACCACCTTGTATGTCGTTTCCACTAGTTTCTTTTCCGGACTCCTAATCATGAAGCTTACATTCGAACCACCCTGCATATTTTCTTAACATTTGTGTGTTTGAAAACTCAATATTTTAAAGCGTAAGAAACATCCACTATCGATCGATCACACTCAAGTAATTTTAATTATGCATTTAATATAACTTTTATTGTTTCAGATTTTTGACCCAACTCTTAAAAAGAAAAAGAAGAAGAAGAAGACCACTTTCGATATTGATGCAGCTTTAGCCGAAGGTAACATTGTTTTAGCCAAGAAAGTTTAAGTTTATTCGCGAGAAGGTTATAACTGAATGCCGGAAAATTTACAATACAACTCTCCTTATTGGGATTTTATATCGGATTATTCTTTGAATCACTAAAAAAATAATCATTGCAGGCAATGATGGTGCTGATGGCAGTGCCAATGGGCCAGAAGAAGGCGAAACCGTAGCCGCTGCGGATCAAGATCAAAATGATGATACTGCGGATATTGACCTCGATTTCACTAAACAGAAAAAGAAAAAAAAGAAGAAACCTTTCAGGTAACTTATCAAGACTTAATTGCAGTTTTAACAGTTAATCTAATGCTATGTTGCTCTTTTAGTACTGATGATCTAGATGCTGCACTGAGATCAGCATCTCCGAATGTTTCAGCTTTTGGTTCGGGAAAAGATGATGATTTAAAGTCTTCTCATCAAGATGAGGAGACTTTAGATGACGAGACTTTTAACCTTGACTTTGGCAAGCTTAAAAAGAAGAAAAAGAAAAAGAATTTAGATGAAATCATTTCTGAAGCTGATGTTAAATCCGAAGATAAGGAGAATGGTAAGTGATTAACTGGTTTTTAAATGGTGGCCACGGGTTTTGGATTTAACTGTGTGTTTCCTTGCAAATGATCTAACAATGCTGATTTTTACTTCACAATGTGCTCGTGTTCAGTATTGAAAAGAAGTAGTTTTAGTTGTGGCAGTCTAAACTAATAATTAATTTTGATATACATGCTGCACATTGGTGGAAAGAATAGTCGATCCAGGTAAAAGATGTGCAAACTTACTTTATGCATTCGCTTTATTACTTTTCTGTCTTGGGAAAATAATATCGAAACACACTAATTGATTGTCGGTATTCACTCTAAATTACCATACTAAAAAGTGATTAATATATTAGCATTTTGTTGTATAGGGCGTTGCTAACAATCGTAAAAAGTAATTTGTTGGCTGAAGTAGCAAATTTTACAATAGTAGTAGATGTAGAACCAAACATTTTTTGCATTCATGTGAACGCTTGTCTAGAGGGAACAATATTTAAATAATTGATTGCACTGCTTTCGTTTTTATGCAGTTTTTTATTGTTGCAAATATGAACCTATTCATCGTTGGATGTTAAACAAACTTAAGTGTCCATTTTACATAAGTCTAGAATATTGACTATTGAGATATTACTCGTGTATTTTTCACATTAATGGAAAACGTCGATAAAAATTCACCTGATCATAAAACTGGGCATTTTTTTTTATATCAAGTTATAGTCAAAAATAAACTAATGAATCAGTTGCGTTCACTGTGTTGTCCTAAACTTATTAACACCATGTACATTGCTTCAAGTAGTTAATAACTTACGGTAAGTGAAATGTGCTTAAGATTGTAGTGTGCTTTTGTGTGTGTAGAACTAACTCGTACACATTACTTACTACAAGTACAGAAAATGTTTTTGTAGTAGATGAAAACTCCATTTCTTGGGTGGGATCCGATAGAGATTACACATATGAAGAGCTGTTAAATAGGGCCTTTGAAATCATGAGGGACAAGAACCCGGACATGGCAGCCGGCAAGAAACAAAAATTTGTTATGAGACCGCCACAGGTAAATTTGGGTACGACTTATTCATCGCAATTCTAACTGATATCCTTTGATGATAGGTGGTGAAAATCGGCGCAAAGAAAACCTCATTTGCCAACTTTACTGAAATATGCAAAATGTTGCATAGACAGCCTAAACATTTGCTCGACTTCTTGTTGGCTGAATTGGGTACCAGTGGTTCCGTTGATGGTAATAGTCAGTTAATCATCAAAGGTCGTTTCCAGCAGAAACAGATAGAAAACGTATTAAGAAGGTACTTGCTATTGACTCAGTGCAAATGGAATTGTTGAGGTTAATCGAAACATTTATTCCAGATATATAAAAGAATATGTTACATGTCATACGTGTAGATCACCGGACACCATATTACAAAAGGACACTAGACTTTTCTTCCTGCAGTGTGAAACCTGCGGATCCAGGTGTTCTGTAGCTAGTATCAAATCTGGTTTCCAGGTATGTAAAATTTGCTTTCTAATGTATTTTGTTTAATAAAATTTGTTTTTCTTTTCAGGCTGTTACATCAAAACGTGCAGCAATCAGAGCAAAAACAGCATAGTCTCTCAAATAGCTGCAATAATCGTAATATTAATGTAATTAATTGGTATTATAAAGGAGCTGCACTTTTTTAATTAAATGTTTGTGTTGCCGTCTTGTCGTGTACTTTCTAGACTATTATGCTGAAAGTCTGAACGAAAAAATATCCTTTTTATGTCCGAAAGAATAGCTTTACTTACAGTTTGTACTAATGATTAAAAATTTACCGAGAAGACAATTTAATTGGTTTTGTGGTTATTTTCGGCCGGTTATAAATTAAATATATATATTATCCCAAATGATTTATTTACAGTTACAACCAATTGCTTCACTAGTTTGTAAACCTAGACATTTTACCACATTTGCGCCTTAACTCTGTGCTTTGGCAATAGCTCTTTGGTTTAGTAATTGGCAATTTTAAATGGGGGTTTATAACGCTCGAGCAGCCCGCTCAATAAGCTTGTTTACATCTGGAGCTGCTCCTATGGCATAGAGCAATTTCAATAGTTGCATTCTCCAAAAATTCACGAGTCGAATAAGGCTAAAAACGCAACATTAACATTTTTGGTGTGGTTAAGAGTCAGTAAATACTCACAATAAATTCACTTCAAACCAACATTTCTTTGGAATAGAAAGCATTTTCCTAATTATACCATTGTTTTCACTTTCAAACGCCGTCTTTGTGGCGATTCGAGCTAGAATCGCGTATCGATCGATAGGGTTTCCTAGATCGTACGAAATTGCTCTAATGGTGTTTAGGTTTCTGAAATTTATTTAGGTGTTGGAGATTTGTTCGCGAAGATATTGATTTTATACCTAAGCACCAATAACAATGAATTAGGCATTTCCTGCAAGCAGTCCACGATTTGATCGAATCGCTCGCCAGCCACTTTTCTCATATAATCTTCCTCCTGCTTTGATAATTTAAACTTTAATCGAAACCCCGTGGTTCTCAAGGGTGTTTGCGTTAAAATTTCAGCGAACATTGTATAGTCTAGAAGAGATTAATCGTAAGGTGTTCAATTGGTTTTTGAATAAATACCATCAACTCCTAAAGCCTTTGAGTAGACATTCATTTTATTGTGGTCCCCCAAAACTATCGCTTTCCATAAATGGCTTAGAGCCATCCTTTCTTCATTTGGCACGATTTGGTACAGTCCATGGTCCAGAATAATCAGTTGGGTTTTGCCATTGTTTTTTCTAATCATTACTAAAATATGTCTGTACAAAATGAGTGTATTTAAGGATAATAGTTCTAGATTACTATTTCCAGGGTGAGGGTCCGCATGAACAAAGCCAGACTCGAAAATTTGGCTTCCGAAGGATTCAAATAATTTAATGTTTATATCCGCTAGGGAATATCCTTCTTGTTTGAGCCTTTTTACATCTGTGATTTTAATGCCGTCAATAAATTCCGTCACTAAAACTCTCTAAGAAGAACATCAGTGTTTAACTAGAGTTTAATCTTTGGTTCTAGATGGGACATCTCACTTACAAAATTTTCCATACCGTATTAGTGTAATTCCATAAAACTGCAGGAACATGCACGTATTTCAAATGCGCTAAATCTCTGGCACATCTTTCGCCATTTAGACCTTCATTAACGAAGTCCAGCTCTTGCTTCAGTGCATCAACGAAACCATTCAAAATCCACGTAAAATCAACTTTGGGGTGTAACCATGCCCCTATTTTCAGCAAGATGTTGATTGTCATCACATCGCCATTCAGTCGCTTCTGTAGATCGTTGTATTGAACTTTTACCGCGACTGAACGTCCTTCTTTGGTTGTAGCTTTAAATACCTGAAGAACGTAACTTCAGCGTTAATTTATAATATCTGATTAAATAATCCAATTTCGCGTACTTGTGCTATGCTAGCTGCAGCGATTGGATCGGAATCGAACGTTTCAAACAACTCTTCAGGCGTGTGGCCGAAATCTTCTTGAAATACTTGATACAGTTCCTCTTTGTTTCTGGCCAAACATTTATCCTGCACAAAAATGAATTAAAAAATGAAACTCCAGTTCTATCCAGTAATGTTCCTACCTGCAGGACCTTTAGAGTTACAATATATTCTTTGGGCAAAATGTGACTTAAAGACACTATGCCTTGGCCCAACTTAACATAAGTTCCACCATTTTCCAGGCATCCATCCCTTATGCGTTCTGCACATCTTTGGTGTATTCTGCTCATCATCAGCGCGTAATTTTCAGCCTCTTCTGATAGTCCAAACGTTGAAAAGTAATAGTCTAGTGAAATGGCTAAACCAATTTGTATCGACCTGAACAGGAAGAGCTTGCTTAAAAACTGCGATTATCGGGAAATTATTGCTTGGTGTTGACTACCTTACGAATCTAATCAGTCCTTTAGCTCCAACAATTATGTCATCTTCATTTTTAACAGCCCCAACTGCGACAGCTGCAGAAGTCGCACTTATTCCAGCAAAAATGTATTTAGGGTATTTATTCTTGGTGCGATTGTTACTCAAATCTTTCAGATTCAAGCGAAAGCATTTTCGGATTAATTGGCTGCCCCATCTAGACATGACTTGTGTACGTGTTCGTGCAAAAATTTGGCTGTCGAAGCTGTAAAAAAATGCTGATTTAGGCTACATTTTATTGTTGTTAACAATGTACAGGAATGTATTTTTTAGATTAATAGTTCACGCGCAAAATTCTTTAGGTCGTTTTATGTCGAAGATTAATGCGTATACGCCAAAATAGAGAACAACACGTGGTTTTTCGCATGAATTTCGTCTTGATTTTTCTAGTTTCTCCATAAACTTTTGATATGGTTTAATTCGACTATATTGCCTATAGACCCCACATTTTCAGAAAAAAAACATGGAAGTTTATAATTGCGCGTCAGAACGCAATTGTTAAATTTACGAAAATGAGTTTACTATATTTACAAATACACCAACTTGTAGTGTTTCAAGAATTTTTATTTCAACAAATTAGTTTTGTTATTCCATACTCTTTTAAGTTTTTTATTGCCTATAGACTAATAATTTTAAAATTAATGATTTGATGAAATGAGTTTTATAACACAAAACGTTGCAAATGGAATTAACGATTAATATCAATATTAAAGTGGAACTAACATAAACAAACAGCCACTTCACGTTTATTGGGTCCAAAATGCCCGAACATTCTGCCAAAAAGAATTAACGGCATGTCTCATAGTGATTCAGTGATCGTTCCTGGGTCTAAATATTCTGCCAAGAAAAATTGGTAATATTGCAAAACTCAGGTCAAAGAGTAAAGTATTAGTTTTCTGCGTTTTTCCTTTGCATTGTTTGATCTTTCTTAATTTTCCGGGTGTTTAATGAAAAGCTTCCATTGCCGAATTAGTAAAAATTCTGAACAACTTAATCAAATTATTAAGTAAAATTAAGTAAATGAAAAAAACTTGATTTACTTAATTGTATAGATTTATTTATAAATTGATATTGCCAGTAATCTTGAATAAATCTAAAATCGTTTTTACATAATGATTTGAAAGTTCTCAATATCTATTCAATTTTTTTACAAAAATATACAAAGAACCCTATTTTTAGTCATACTTGTGAAAGAGTAGAAAATCGATACTTAAGTGTCTTTAAAGTATAAGTTTAAAGAACCTATTTACCATTTAGCTCTTCATGAACAGTGAACGGTGTTTTCGAGTAGCGGCGCGAACAAATCAAACTAAGAAGACCATAAAAGTTTATTTAAATTATATTCTCCTAAGTTTCATCAAAAAGGTACGTACAACCGTTGATACAATCCAGATATCAGATCAATCATGTCAATTTATCTTTTTCCAGCAATCTCACAATAATTTGAGTCTGTTTTTTCCTCAAAATATGAAGTATTCCGTTTTTAAGCAGATTATTTTTTAAAGGATAACCCCTGTTTGACAGTGCAATGAAAAATGTTTGATGAATGAACGTGTTTGGAGCATTAGAACTGGGAAAACTAAGGAAAAGCGTGAACCAGGCAAAGGGAAACAATCAATATAATAAAGGTAAGAGTTAAATGAATTAGTAAACATTTTTATTTGCAAAAAATTACTAAGGCGACGCTCAGGATTAGTTTCACCCATTTCAATTAACAGATAAACGAATCTAATTTCTAATTAAAGATAAATAAACTTAAAGACTGATGCCAACTGCGGGTAGTAACAAATGTTTGCAATAAATTAGGTGCAATCTACATGCATAATTTCCGCTATTTTTAAACTTATTGATTAAAACCGGATCACGCAGTGCCATAAATCAATTAAATATATTTTTTCTCGAAAACCATGTGTTGTACAAAAAAGCCTGTATGCTAAACTAAAAGCGGTATAATTTTTCATTATAAATTAAATTATACAGTCGCGTCTGTGCCACGCCACTGGTACAGCTGTAAATAAAATTTGTATTGTTGCAAACGTTTATTAAAATAGTCCAAGCGGTTTTACCAATATTAATAAATTTGACTTTGTTGATGAAAATGTTAAATCGTTGATCGGAAATTAAGAGATTTTAGAATACAGCAAGGAATATGTCGACTTTCCAAACTCCGGGTGTTTTGTTGGACGAATCCAACTTTTGATTTTGGACAAAAGCATTATTATAAACCAACTTTATATTGATTTGCAATGCTTCAAAATTAAAAAAGTTTTTTCCTGTTACAATTTTTCAGCATATTGATGGAATTAATGGTGAAACACATTGTATAGTGCATAGTGCAAAAACGAAATAATGTACAGGGTGGCCACTGGAACCTGATCCAGTTTTAAAGGACAAACTTTTCAAAAATTAGTTTCAAGTAGGTATATAGAATGCCCCCAAAATTAACTTACATATCAAACAATCAGTAGTAACAGTAAATACGCACACAAATATTTACAGCGTTAGGTATAGAGAATATTGAGAAAATCGGCAATAAAAAAACTAGGGTCAGGAATTAGCTATTCAAAATTATAGCAGAAGAAAACTCCTGATTGTGTGATTTTCTAGGCCATATAATAGCGTCGTACTGGACTTTTCATAAAACACGAGTTTTCGGTAACACTCATTCGTGGAAAAAATCGCATTTATCGGGAAAACGGTTGATTTTAAATATTTGATGTTATAATCTGTTTAAGAAACGAATCCAAATTTGCTTCTGATGATGTAGAAACATCGAAAGCGCGAAAATTGAATCAAAAGTTATCTAATTTTAAAGCGCAAAACGTACATTAAAATTAAATTTGTGCTACCTACTAAAAAGGTCTTTATATACAGGGTGTCCCGTAAGCACCTGACTAAAAGGATACGGCTCAAAAGCACTATTATAAAGGAAAAATGTCTGGCTCCTGATATATTGATTGGTTAAAGTTCTTCAAAAAAATTATATTTTTTTAAATATTGGAAGAGTGAGAGTGAAATGATGGATTTTAATGAAACTTGCTATGAATTTGTTCAATTTGGGCAATAATTTGCTAAAAGCTCGATTTGTGTCGTCGGATTTCTGAGGAACGCAATTCATACTTAATAATTATTAGAGTTCGAATTGAAAATCACTAAAATTGTCGAAAAAAGCGCCTAAAAAGTAAATTCATTACTGACAAGAAAGCGTAATAGTATGCACAATATTCTTTTAGAGCGGTAAAAATAAAACTTTTTAAATTGTTTTAAATTAAATTTAATGTAATGAAATAAATGGACGAAATTTTATTAAATAGATTTATTCAAATTATTTAAATAATTACAAAAACGTAAGAATGCTTTGCTTAACGTTAAAGTTTATTCTAAGGAAAGTCTATTCCGAAGGAAACTGAGAAATGAACAAGTGAAATTATTATTATTTCAAACATGAAATGACTAAATTTTTATTTAAATGTTCCATTGCAAAATTGTTGCGGTCTACACCAAGAATATTTTTGCAAGTAGAAAAACTACTCTCCACGTCTACACTTCTTAAATCTAAATTTGAAAAACATTGCCAGGTTTTCACAATTTCTCCATTTAAAACCGAAGAAGTTTCTTTCAATTGGAAGTCCCTCGATTTTAGGATTAGTGCATCGACTCAAAATTTCAAAATCAACTCTCAAAATCAGTTGATTCTAGCGACCAAATAAAAACTTCTGATAGACACTTAGGAAAGCAGATGAACTCGGGTGGTTCATCAAAATATAAGTCTTACACCGGAACAATTTTACAGGGAGTTTCTTTAAAATTAATCGCATCTCTCGCTGTTTCACAAAAGGTAATGTTTTGCAGAACTTTGACCCCAAATAGTAGAGAAGCCATACATTTTTTGCTTAATAACAGTTTTGAGCAAGTGTTTACGGTACACCCTGTATATGTCAGGTGATACATTTTAATATAGCGTGAATACGTAGAAAGCAGCTTTGCAATTTGTGGAATTTCGTCCCCCAGTTTCGCATTTTATCAGAGAAGGATCACATTTTCTGCACTTATTGAAATTTACTTTCATTGACCTTAAAGAAATTTAGGAAATATATAGGGTGTTCCATTAGTAGATAAGAATCAGATTTGATGTGTAAGTTTCGTTTGGTTCTCCCTGTGCAATGGCAACTAATTTCAAAATGTGGTCCATTCAAAACTCTATTTGGCACGAAAAGTGGGATTGGAAACATTTATTCGTTTCCTTGAACGATAAGCTCATGAAGAAAATACAGGGGCACCCTATGCATACAAATGAGCCAGTTTGCAGTTTGGAAAGGCATTTTAGACTTAGTCATGATTAAGGAAACACGGGGTTTTGAACATTCTCAAGCAATTAATAGTGTCTTTTCCCTTTGATACTGCTGGCTGAAATTTCCAGGTCTACTGGATCGCTTCAAAGTTCGAGCTGCTGATATTTGCGTGCCCTTTTTCCTGTTCAGCAGCGACCTCTCCTCCCACCGTAGCAGGAAAACGAAACAGGATTAAACTAAAGTTGAAAACCCAGCGCTTTGCAGCTTTGCTTCAGTCGTATTCGGCGACTGGCCTGAATGCTGCTGTGCTTGTTCGTCTGTGTCGCCTTGAACGTTAGTGACTGTCGACCCCTCTAGACTAAGCCACCCGAAGAAAATTTGTAACTAGCCATCAAGGTAAGACCTACTGGATTCGTGGATGTCGATTTTAAAGAATGCCACATCGTGATGATCGAGTTAAATAAACACCCTCCATTCCATGCACACAAACAAACACATAATCAGCTGATTATTGAAATTACCCATAGCTAAGAGGCAAAATGCGCAATATGACAAAGTTAATGGAACTGATGGACTTGTGAAAATTTCACCCAGAAGCATGAATTTTAATGTAGATATTCACCTTCAGGTTGTCAAAGTTAATTGAGGATTCTTTGTTCGTTGTCAAATAGTCGCACGAATTCACCGTCCACAAATTCGGCTTCGCGATCGATGATGTAACTTCACAACAAGCGCTGCGTGCTCGCTTGCTCGTTAAAAGAGTGTAGACGACCAAACGGTGATTTGTCAACAGAATAGACAAGGCACAACTGTGTATACACGTGACGTGCAAAGCTTGCGCGTTATCTGGCACGGAAATCACTGTTATCTGTACTCTAGGTTGGTTCTTTGTCCGACCTTTATTAGTTTTTTTTGTTGATTATACTGGGTTTGTCAAGACAACGGAGTTTTTATTGGGTCACCACTTACTGTAGAAAAAACTTTCCGAAACAAAATCATTTTTTCTTTGGTCGATATTTGCGAAATTTTGGACTGTTTTTGTTTCAGCACTAACCATATCAAAAATATTAAGTCAAATAGGGGAATACCCGTGAACCAAATTTGACAAAAAAAATTACACCACTGACTAATAAAATGTTTTTTTTTCGATAAAGCAAACTAAAACAACTTTTTGCCTCTTAGAGTTGAACTCTCGTCATGTCTTGCCTGCATGTTTATCTCGTGATAAAGACGTGATAATGTACGTAAAGGTCACCAACTTTGTCACGTCATTTTCGTGTTTATCACGTCTTTATGTCATAATGAAGTGACGCCATAAAAATGTCATTTCTTCTTACACACAAACCTTGAGTCTTGCCTGCGCTTAAACTGAAAATCAACATATGTTTTCCTTCTTTCTTTCGCCTTTCTTCTCAATGACAGACAAATATTTTTATATCGATCGAATTTACTGCTTTGTAAACTTAAAGTGAATTACAATATAATTCAAAAATTATAATAAAAACGATTAAGATGATAAAAGATGGACAATACGCACACAAACCCCTACAGACCATAGAGAAAGTAAAATAATTTTACTTTCTCTATGCTACTAATGTGTATACCAGAGGCAGGTAATTATTTGAGAATGTTTCTCGAAACTCTATCCAGTCATCATCACCGTGGAATTTTGGCAAATTGATTGTGGGCAACCTAATAAATGAATTGCCGTTTGAATGTACCGATTGTGTACTTGGAGCAGAACTTGATTCCGAAAGAGTTGCAAGTTAATTCTTAAAAACCTCAGCCCGTGAAATAGCCTCAAAATATTCGCCTTCGAAACATGCAAATTGCTCATTATCATCATTCAAGTCCTTCCCACATAGCAAAATGATATTCCCAGAGTATACCTGGAACATTCATGTGATGTACATGCATATTCCTGGGACATACATGAGTTCCATTATGAACATTCCATCTATGTCCCAGGAATCTGTCAGAGTTAATACACTGAATGTTCTTGGTATGTTCTGGGAATGTACATGGTATGTTCAGTGAATGTACATGTGTATGTTCTGACAATGTACCTGGTATGTTCAGTGAATATACATGTGTA